TCTCCCGGCGGCTCTCCCGGCGGCTCTCCCGGCGGCTCTCCCGGCGGCTCTCCCGGCGGCTCGGGCGAGGCTTCGCTCGGAAGGGCTCCTCGGAAAGGCCGCGCTCTCCTGCGTGCGGCCCCCAGGGCCCTCGGGGCGAGGCCGCGGCCGGGGCGGGATGGAGCTGGCGGTCAGGGAGCGGCTGCTCGCCGCCGAGACCGGACCAGGTGAGCGGGCGGCCGGCGGTGCCATCTAGTGCCCGTATTTAAGAACAAGTGCAATTAAAATCTCGCTTCGAACAGGAAAACAGCTTGATCTTAATCTGTTTTCTGAATTCTCTTTCTAGTGTGCTAACGTTAGTGATTTTAAATAGCAAGAGAGTTGTTAATGCTTCATCTTAGAATCATGTCTGACTTCGAACAACGTGTGTGTGACATTATTTTTCTTAAACATTCGTGGTTTATTTCTGCACAGGAAGAATGGGTATCACGTATCTCATTTGAATACAATCATGTCAGTCCGCCTGGAAGCAAAAATTCTTTATTCCTTTTTTTATTTCAGATGTTCAAGCTTTGAAGAATGCTTACGAGTTGATCAAATCAGCCAGTGATGGACAATCTGCACTTGACTCATCGGATAACATCAGCGGCGATTTATATGTTTTATGTGCTGAACAAGCACTTCAGGTTTGTAATTTAGGTCTTTCATCTGTATTGAATAAAAACACATATATGATGACTTATTTACAGCTGTTACAGTTACTACTTTAAAAATCTCAGGAAAATACCTGAGGAAAGTTTTACATTATTCTGGTTTTGGAGAACCGTGGTTTAAACGTGCATTTTCCATTGAAACTCAGCCCCTAAGTTATCACTTCTTTAGGTCAGTCAGCAAAGTGTGGTTTGTGAAGTTTGTAATTAAACCAGAATTAGCAAGCTATACCACAGTATATATTAAAAAGTATGCCATACCTGTTTTTTCTTGTTACGGAAAACTTAACATTAGGCAATTTGGTTATCACTGCAGAAAATACGTTTGTGAACGGTCCGTATCCAGCAAAAGAACCTTAATAAAAATAATGAAAACCCTGATACATTTTAATTATGAAAGGCTATTGCTCATTGAAATGACTTCTATAAAACGTGGTAGAGGTTTTTAATTCTGAAGTATTTGTTAATTTTCGATCTATGAACAGAAGTGATTGGGTTTTAAGCAGCGTTTGTAGTAAAACTTTTTTTTGTTTTACCCGAGTTGCAAAGCAGTCAAAATTTGTCTGTGATCTCAAAATTGAGGTGTAGCACTGACATATTCTTCCAGCTAATATCCCTCCTTACAAAACCCCCATAATTCTGTTAAGAATTTTGTCTTTATGTTCACAATTGTATTTAAAAAGGAAACGTTTTTTGGATACTGTAAGCAGTTCTATGACTGACTGAGTTATGTTRAATCAAGAAGCTATCTTTTTACATACATTTGGAATGACAAAACTATGCCTTTTAATAAATTGTAATGGACCTATACCACAATTGGTATGCATCCCTATGGCATATTGCGTGCGTACTGGTACCAAGTTAGAAGTTACCCTTGATTAGGCATGCATTTTTAACAGCTAACAATTCTTAATTGTTTGTTGCATTTTTTTTTTAAATATTAAAATGCTTTTTTGGGATTTTAGCTGGGATATCTGGAAATTAGCAGTGACTGTCTACAGATGTATTTTAAGGGAAGATTTCCAATCAACCAGTTTCTTGGCAGAGCATATTTGTGCCAAGGCCAGTTGCATGCTCCACGCTCTACAGAAAATTTGGTGAGAAATTATGAAAGTTTCTTTATATTAAACSTGTTTTTAGGAGTATTTATTCCTAAGCTTTTATGTGTTGTTTTCAGTCATTTAAAATACACAGAGATAATCAGGACTGTGGGAAGTATCAAAGGGCAATGTATTAATAAGTAGTTTGCAAATAAACATATTGTATCATCTGTATCAGACTAATACTTCAAWTATTTTGGAGAAAACAGTAAAAAAGAATGCTTGTAAAAATTTTCAGGGAGTTGGTTGTTTTAAGTCACCCTTTTTACTTAAGTGTGATACTTTCAGAACAAATTAGCTGTAACTGTTAAAATAATTTCCAGTTTTATTCGGGAAGCATTTCATTGGGTTGTGGGAAGTGAAGAACTAAAGAGGCCCTCAAAGAGGTTGTACAGTTCATTTCTGTGGCAGCGTACTGCACTGTGGCAGCACACATCAGTAACATTCCCATGTTGTACCTGGATATGGCTTTTTGCAATGAGAGGTAGCAACTCAGCAGGATACTTCTGCTTCCATGTGTTTCTTTCACATGTTACAACTCCCTATATATGGAAAGTAGTTTTTATCTCCTGCTGATTTTAAAATGGAGTGGGATCTGTTTTCTGTCTTCAGTATTTCGCTGGTGTTTGTACTGTGGTCAGTCAGCTTTGATCTTCTGTTAATGGTATCTAACCCTCAAAAATGGCCTTAACATACGTTTAGAATCATAGGATATTCTGAGTTGGATGGKACCCACAAGGATCATCAAAGTCCATCTCCCAGCCCTGCACAGGACAACCCCAAAAATCCTGCCCTGTGCCTGAGGGGGTTGTCCAAACTCTCCTTGAGCTCTGGCAGCCTTAGGGTCATGAGTGCTGTCCTGGGGAATCTGTTCAGTGCCTGGCAACCCTCGGGGGAAGAACCTTTTTCTGATATCCAGCCTAAGCCTGCCCGACACAGCTTCAGTGGTTCCCTTGGACCCTGTCCCTGGCCACAGTGAGCAGAAGTCAGCGCTGCTCCTCCACTGCCCTTTGGGAGGAAGCTGCAGAGTGCGATGAGGTCTCGCCTTAGAGTCCTCAAAGCTGAACAGACCGAGGGACCTCGGCCATTCCTCATATGGCTTCCCCACTAGGCCTTCACCAGGTCTCATAGTTTGAAACTCATAGTTTATGTTAATTGTATTCACAAATATGCCTGATAGATGTTTTAGTAGTTTCTTTAAATAATGTGTTTGAATTAAATTTCAAGATAGAAATCTTTTCCCTGATACATTTTCTGTACTTTCTTTCTTCTATGAGCACGTGTGCGGAATAACTGATTAATGGTCACTTTTAAGCTTTTTGTCCAGTGTCCATAAAAAACCTTTATGTTTCTAAATTAATGGACTATTCTGTGATGTTTTGTGAATCTTGGCCAAATTTTGCTGTTTTCTTCTTGACTCTTGCTAGCCTCTAAGAAGTTAAAAATTATCCCAGATTGTACAGTCCTGGCTTGATTCCTTGTGTCATGTGTTATAATGGTCTTTGAAGATAAGCTTTTCATCAGTTGTAAAGTTTTTTCACTGCTGTGTTCCTAGATAATTTATGAAAATAGGAGTGGTGCAGCATTTCATGCCGTGTGACTAAGTAATCATCATTCACTTAGAAAAGATAAATTTGTCCTTATTTTGGAAGGAATCCTTCTTAATTGATTAAGATGCTTGTGTTCTTAGTTCTAAGATGCCTGTGTACATAAGGGCCAAGTGCAGCTTCTCTTCTTTAGTACATATTTCATCTCTGGTTTTCTCTTTAGGCAATTCCCATTTATTGCTCAGTGCCCTTCTTATGCATCCCTGAACCTGCTGGCCACGCTCCTCCAAAGGCATCTCTGGATGCTGTCAGCCACCTTTGCAGCAAGGACATGCTGCTGGCTGGTGCTCTTTGACTTGGTGTCCACTGGGGCCCCTTGTTCCTCCTCTGAAGAGCTGGTTCCCAGGTCCTTTCATGATAAAAGAAGCATGCCTGACGCATCGTTCAGTTGGGAAAATCCTGTTGGAGCTTTTTTAAAGAAAATAATTCCTTGAGCTTTTTAATGGGAAAAAACAATATAGTTTGTTTTTTTTTTTCTCCCTGGATTTGCTCTTGGTTGTTTCTAAACTTTATTTGCTGAAAACTTAAAAAGTTTGCAGCTTTGTAGTGTTGGAAAATTTCAGTCCTGATGATTAATGTTCAGCAGAAATGAAATAAGCTAAAAATACGGTCTTAAAATTTGAAATCAGGAAAACATATTAATAGGCAATCAGCCAGTTTTTAGTTATTCTGTTTCTATAGCAACAACTTACTAAGGCAGTATATTTTGGTGACATGGGTCTGAAAACAAAATTTGTGAGATAGAACGTATTGATTGAACATATATTGAAATAGGAAAATAATGTACCAAGTTATAAAAGCCATATTCAAATTGCATTAGCTTTTCTCTGTTCTGTTCTAGGACGACTTTGAAAAGTTTGTGCTGTTTTTTATGAAGGCAATAGATTTTGCAACCCATGACAGAAGGTAGGCCCTACTGATAGCATTATCTCTAAATCCCAGGAAATGCTACTGATCTGGATTTTCAATCGTTCGTCTCGATTTTCACTAGGTAGCATGGAGTTGTCTGGTTTGGTTTTTTCTTTAGATTTTTCCTTCCATTTTGTAACTTCTGTTACTGCTGACTGTGCTGCAACAGCATAAGAACACTGAAGTCTTACATTGACGGGATGAATAATCCTGTTTTAGGCCASTAGATACCTCGGCATTTCTTACTCTTTTATAGTTAGGGTCTACAGAATGAGAGCACCATGTTAGCTCATTTTTAAGTGGTTAATTATTGGCTAGAGTATAGATGCAACAGTTGCCATATTCTTCTTGTGCTGTACTTGTATTCTCAGTTGTCAGTCAGGATTACTTCCAATGAAAAGAAAAAGTTGCACTTTTTAATTTCTTGGAAGTGTCTTAAAGTACTCCAGCTGTAATTTTACGTTTATTCAAATTCATGAAATACTAAATTTTTGATTCTTATTTTCAGATATTTCTTTTTGATATATAATGCCTCAGTTCTTTATTGGCAACTTGTGAGGCCGTTTCTTAAGCCTGGATTCCGCTATTGCCTTATTCCCAGCCTTTCGCAGATTGTTACAGCATTAAACCAAATCGAAGAGCGAGACAATGAATGGAGAGCAGAACTCATGATGTAAGTTTAATCATTTTTTTTCATATGGGCATTCTGTAGTCCTTTCGGGACTGCCACCTGAGGTAGTCTTTAATAAGGTGTATTTCACCTTATTAAATGTTCCTGGATACAGTTATTGTGAAAAGTTTAATTCCTACCTTGTGAACGAGACAGAAATGTACTGAACATAAAAGGCACTTCATTTTAATATTTACTTTAAGCTTAAASTTTTAGTGGCAGAGACAGCTATGCCCTAGATCAAATCTGAAGTTTCACATTTTAAATGTGGTGTTTGAGTCATCAATAGTAATTGGAAATAAATGGTGTATAGATATCAATGTATTGCCATTCTCACATTTTCTGAGCAAAACTGGAGCATAAACTTTGAGATAACTGTACTGAGAGAAATAGTTTTGTGTGAAAAAGTAGTAGCATTGGTGTAATTTTTCAAGCTCCCTCAACCTTTTCTCAGAGATGTTTTGGTCTGCTATTCTACGGGCTGTTTGCATTTCTTCTTACACTTCTACCATAGTTTTCTCGTTTGTGAACTTTTCTATTTATTTGGTCTATCTCTATATGTGGAGATTTTTTTTATTGCTATGCAGCATTTTGTTGATCAGCTGAAACTGGAAAGAAGTAACTAAACATTCCAAGAGGTATGTAAAGAACTGTCTAGAATACCATGCATGCAGTTTCTTGCTATCAAACGCACTCTTGCTGAAGTGTTGATGAGAACGAACAAATGCACACCGTGTGTTTGTGTTATAAAAGTAATGGTTGCATTTATTATTCTAAAAGTTGTATTTATTTTTAAAGTATTTTTTATTACGATTGTCGATTTATGTCATAGCATCACAGACTGTTTTTTCATTTAAATCAGATAGAGTATTAAAAGTCCAGTAGATATATTGCAGTTTCCAAAATGAATAGTTTTCTTTTACTAAATGGCTTTGAAATACTAGCCTTTCCAGCAGCTCAGGAGAATCTTAGAACGCATCTCACAGAAATGGTTTTCTCATTCACTATTAATTACTCTTTTTAATTCCAGTTATCTTGTTGAGAAAAGTTTTCACAAAAAAGTCTCCAAATTTTCCATGATTCTTTTTGTGATCTGCACTAACAGATACGTTAACAGCTGTATATATATCGGGAAGAAGCAAAGATGGTGAAATTAGAGGATCTCTTTTGTGTTGGTCAATGCTTTATAACACTAATCACTTGTATTGCATTTAGAAGTGGTATCTTGAATACAAAGTGTTAAAGAAATATAAATAAGTATTTTGGGAAGTGTTAATAAATATTTAATATGAACATTTATTTGATCTGCAGAAATTTACTCGAGTGTTTCCTCGATGCTTCGCAACTGGAAGAAGCAAAAGTGTTTTCATCTACTGCAGCAGTCTTTATTAAGGAAAATGTTCCAGATAAATATTCTCAAATATTTTCTTTAATGGTAATTAATGGCCGAAAAATACTTTAAACTTCCATTAAGACAGGAGAATATTTGTCTATTTTTCATAATATCATAGTTATAATTGTTATATAAGCTGTTTTATTAATTTTAATTCTGTGAGCTAGCAAACAATTCAGTAAATAGGCAGAGATTTTCACAAATTGTATCTTTTGGATACTGTAAGGTGAGGAGCTCCCTACTGCTCCATGTTATTTTAACATGTCATAATATAATGGGGATAACTGTGTCTAACCCTAAAAATTCTGTTTGGGATAAATTACTGTTGAAAGAGAAGGCATAGTGAGAGCAATTTAACCTGACTTATGCCACCAAGGGCATATTTAGTATGTGTTGACTTTTCTCATGCTGATAAATATTTAAGTGATCCAGCTTCCACCTTATAAACAGTACTGGAAATTGGAGGATATGGCAATAGTTTGCATTTCCTGCATGTGCTTAATTTGGGAAATAAGAAGATAAAGACAAATGTGGCAAAAGCAAAAATAGGCAAATAAAACTCAGAAGTTGGGTGCAGGCATATTTTCTTTCAGAAAACCACGCTGTCTGTTGTCTTTTTCTGTTCACCCCCAATTGCTGCATTTCACAAGTGAATGTTTATATTCCAAATGTCTCTAACATTTGAATTAAGAGAACCAATATACAGCATTCCAGAGGTGTGATATTAATGAAGTAATCACACTGGGGCAGGCTTGAAATTACTTAGGTATTTTTTAGAAGCAATGTTGAGCAAAGCTGCTTGACAGCGTCATTAGGTGGAAGAGTGAAGTAGTTCTAAGATTGTACTTGGGCTACAGAAGTATGATCCAAACTATTGAGCGCTTTAATAGCCGCACACTGAAGTCTGCAAAACTTAGTGTTCCATTACAGCTTAAGTAATTCGGTATTGATAGTTTTGGGCTGTCAGTCAGAAATGATGGGCTGTCAGATGATTTGGGCTGTCAGAAGAAATGATCTGCGCACTATTAATGTGTACCTCTACAGTTAAATTGAAGTAAGTGAGGTTTATTGTAATGTCTTCATGATAATTTTTCCCTGCCTATAATATATAGGTATAGATAAAATTTAGTTTGTCTTGTTTCTCACACCTGGATGATTTCAGAAGGACTGGTGTCAAAAGGTGTTAACAATGCATTAGTTAGAATTCTAACTCAGATGGTAGTTCCACATCTGTATTTTCTAATAGGGCTGATCCTGACTATTGGAAGGTCAGTATAGCTCTGCTAGGTGATCTTTGTATTATCTATGCAGAAAAACATAGATTATCATAGTAGCCACATTGTCCTTAAAGTCCATGAAAACAGTCAAGATACCTGCTTTATTTTATCCCTGTTGAGTGTTTGTCCTTTGCTTATTTAATCAGATAGTAATTAAGTTGTTATTTTGTAGGTGTATCACAAACTAATGGATATTTCCCAGGCAGAGAAGGAAATACAAAATTCCATCCATCTATCAGTTATTTATAAGATGCAGGTGCTAAAGTTGTAAGTACAAAAATGTATCCTTTCACTTGTACTTTGATGCTGCATATTGTAGAGGTAGGATCAAGTTCTGGGATCCCATATTCTCATTGAAAAATCTGCAGAGATTCATTCCTTAAAAGGAAAATTAGAATGACAGGTTGGGTAGTAACTGTCAGGTCCGTCTAGAGAGCAGCCTCATCTGAAAATTGCTCTAGCCCTTTGGGAATGTAGAAATTAATGTGTTGTACAGGTATGGTCAGGAAAAAGAATTTAAGGGTCCGAAAGATGCTTTAGTATCAAATGGACTGCAGTTCCATCCCCAAGTTGTGTACAAAAAAATAAAGATGAAGTGGGGAAATCACCCCACTKTATAAACCCCAGTGTATAAATCATGGCGGATAATGCTTTTTAAACTCTTTAGATCTTAAAGGCTAAAAACAATTTTGAAAATTAGACTTCATAGCAAAATCTCATGTAATTATTTTTTCAGTATCTCAAGATTCCTCAGTTTTAAAAATCTTGATTCTTTTCTTAGTAGCAGAGAATTAGTTTATTCTGGCATTATGGGAAAGGAGTCATGCGTACCTTTTTTTTTGTTCTGTAATAAAATTTACTGTCTGAAATATTAATTTGCATATTGAAGTTAAGTTTTGTTGAATTTTTTTTCTTGATGTTTCAAAATCTGGGTATCCTATTGATACCTTGGAATAAGAGCMATATATTCTGAAGTTAGGAGAGTTACGTCAAAATTTTAATGCAATAGTATTTCTCGAGAAAAATTACGACCAAATTCTTCACATGTTGCAGGCAGAGGGACACAAATGCATTACCGAGTGATGCCGCCGCAAATCTGAACTCTTTATATGTACTTTTGGAACAATGTGATGTACCTCCGGCATCCGTTCTCGATGTGAAGTGAGTTTTATTTCTCATAGCCCCATGGAAGTTGATGATGAAGCTGATGCTGCTTCCATTGAAATCTGTCAGAATTCCTAATGAACTTGCAGAGAATGAACTCGTACTTAGTTGTTTGTGTTAACACATAGGTCATCTTAAAAAAGGACAMAATCCTATTAGGCTTTATTACAGAACCCAATTAAATATTTTTTCCATACTTCTCCTGTTCCAGACAGTGCGCTATGCTCGTTTGGTTATTTACAGATACCTAAATAGTTAGAAAAGTCTCTTTCTGGGTGTCTGTGTTCTTAGTTGCTAGATAGCAGACTGATGGATTTAACTGCTTTGTGTCTCAGTCCACTGAATTGTATTTCCAAAATTTCCTGCAATCTAAGTTTGTTACTTCACCATCTTTGTGCTTTATGCTTTTCATTCTGTAGTTTTTTGTCATCTTCAGAAGCTGTGCAGACTCCATAGGAGTATGCTAATTATTTTCCATAAGCAGATAAACTTGTATTTTTCATGTAGCCAACTTTGAGCTTTCTCCTTTTTCCTTGTTAACTGTGAGCATTACTAGTATAAGCGCATTTTTTCTATTATCCATGTGACTTCAAGATTTTCAGATATATTGCACAGTTACCTTCAAAAAGTGTTTTTCTAATTCCATGAAAGAACAATATCAAATTATCTGAGAGACGTTTTTGTATTTTTGAAGGATTCCTTTGATTCTGGAATTAGCTCATTTCTCTCTGAAAGTAAACTGCACTGAGCTCGCAGCTCGTTGTATACTGGATTTGAAGAGCGCTCGGGTTACTGTAAGTTTTAATTATGTGGTTTTGGGKTTTTTTTTGCACACACTCCCATACCCCTTTTGTGTTTATATTCAAAAAATTGTACTGATGGTTCTAGGTTATTCTGTGTATTGTTTATATATTCATTGATAGAAATAATTATTTGTATAATTGATCAATTCCTAAACTAGAGAAGTAGATGTAATTTCAGAAGGTAGGGTATGGGTAGACTAGGGTGATTAGTAGTGCGGTTTGCTTTCACAAATAAATATTAACTGTAAACTTTTGCTTATGTTTTTAAAATGTTATCTGTGCAAGAGTTTGATTAGAAGTTAAATTGAAATTTCTATTAGAATGATCCTACTTTGAGTTGCTTACAAAATTTAACTTATCCTCACTGAATTTTTTTTTTTATGCTGGGTATCTGATTCAGGCCCATTATTTTGAACACTTCCTACAAGTCTAAACTCATATAYAAATCCATAGCATTCCACTGGAAGATGTGTTTTATTTTCCTAGATGAAAGATTCGCAAGGGGTTAATATGAATATTTGTGTAGACAGTGGTATCGAATAGCTGTTGTGTAGCAACAGCAGAGAAACTTTGCTTTATTTCAGCCTTCGCTGTTAACGTGTTTTTAGGTGACCATCTTCAGATTGCCCAGCATCATGTGACAGTGATTTCTTTGTGGTAGAGTAAGAGAAATCTATGTCAAAGTTTCAGTTCCTCAGCTTTGCCAAATAACTGAAAAATTTGCCAACCAAAACATGAATTCCATCTCTKTGTGTATTTGTCACTAAGGTTTTTCATTATCTCTTCTGTTTTCCAGTCATGGGAATATTAAATTAACAAAAGTCATGCAGAGTGATTTGATAACAGCTCATTATGAATTAGGAATGGAGAGGCTGTCTGAATTTCCTTAAATCCCCAATTTAACCCATATATAGTGTATCTTAGATGTTTTTATGATCCATACATATAATTTATATGATTTGATAGTCAGCTCTTTCCTAAGATGTTAAAAGTCTAACCTCATTTTTTGCTTAAAAGTTTCACTGCCCATCGAGCTGAATCCTTTCTGTCTTGGCTCGCACTTGTTTATTCCAAGCATGTACCTTTTAATAATATTAACGAATAAATGGAAGAGGGCAGACTTAAAATCAGATATTGTGAAAATATTCTTCCTCATGAGAACAGTAAGCCCTGTCACGGGTTGCCAACAAAAGCTGTGGGTGCTCCATCCCTGGAAGTCTCCGAGGCCAGGTTGGATGGTGTTTGGGGTGACSGGGGGTAGTGGAAGGTGTCCCTACCTGTGGCAGGTTCTTGGAACCGGATGGGGTTTTACGTCCCTTCCAACCAAACCGTTCCACGGTTCTGTGATTCTGCTAGAACTGAAATCAAATTACAGTGTAGGAGAAATTGGGTGTACACCAGTTTTCTTACTTCAAAGTCTGGCAATGAACAACTTAACAGTTGATTTTCCGCCCTCCAGTTAGTAAACAGTTACTGCAGTTCAAACAACAAATTCTACTCCATTTTCATTGTTTCAGTTAAACTTTGTGGCTGTATGTCCTTTTTGCCTTCCTGCCCGATATGTTCCAACATGGGACRGCCATTTGTGACAATGGGGAACAGAGAACACAGACTCCTGTTAGCTGGTCCAAAGAAATCCTTTCCTCTCCATTTATTTTCAGATTCTGTTTGTTTATACTTTAGTTTCCCCGGGCTAAACACCGATTGACTATTTGCTCCGCAGGTCACCGTCCATGAAGCTTCTTATCCAAACACGTCTCTGTTTGGGCGGTGAGCACGGACTCTGTTTTACCGATTCGCGATCTGACACGCTAGGCAGGGTCCCATCGATCGCCGCCTGCTTCCCTGATGGCATGACCCACAGCTCAGACCCTTCCCGAGCTGTGATATTCATTCCAACAGTTACATAGCTAGAATAGTGGGATTCTCAGTAGGAAAGCGCAGTGCTGTGGTGCCTTAATTGCATGGGTTTAATCTGTATTGTAGTTCTTTTTAATTACTGAAATGAGCATTTTGTGTATTGATACTTCATAGGAGCAAGGGAAACTTATTGAGATAGAATGCCTGGAATGTGAATATGAAATGAAGAAAAATGGCACTGAAATTGTGGCTTATACCAAAAGAGTTGTTGAGGTATGTTCTTTATCTTTGAGAGAAAATGAAAAGTTTTAATTTGTTAAATGTGGAAAATTGCATTTGACTGTGTGTCTTCATTGCATATACTGATCAGGAATTCTTTTAACCTTTATGTTCTTTTAAATGGACTGCCAAAAAGGAAACAGAGGAAGATTAAGCTCAGTTGTGTGTTCCTCCCTTAAGACTTCTGTCTGACTATAAAGTTTCATAGTATGGCACTTACCAAGCTCAAAGATGGTAGCACTGAGGCATGAAAAGTCAACCCTGTCATGTTTTCGTATTTTGCCTTTATGGGAGGTGTTTTCGTGGAATATCTTGAGTTGGAAGGGACAGCTAGGAATCATAGAGTCCATCTCAACTGCAATTGCATGTTATGATCAATCTCATACAAATTCTTGTGTTAGAGAAATGCCGATTATGCCTGATAAATTGTCACACTAGGGATGATGTTCTTGAAATTCTGAGGTCAGTTGACTCAGTTATTATTCAGACCATCAAAGCTAGAAGCCAAAATACCAGCATTGTCAGTGGGATTAGAGATGCCTACAATGAGCAGTTTAAAACAGCTATTAGAGTCACATAAAGTTCCTAAAGTGAAAAGTAGGGAGATGTTTTATGGAAATTTGTTAGTGCATAAACATACTTCTATGTAGGGCTGTTTTCATTTTGCGGTTCAGAAATTCCACTCACCGTTTGGAAAAAAACCCTTGCTAATTAATTCCTGGTAGTAGGAAACACTACTAATATTAAAGTGTAAAATAGGATATTTAGGCATTTCTAAACCTTAGGACTACAGTGTACGCGGATGGAGAGGTTTTTTGTTTTACCTTTTTTTTTTTTTACTTGCATAACCTCTGAAATAGCATAATAAATGGCGTGTTTGTTACAGTAGAGAAGGATTTGCTTTTAGAAATAATAAGAACCAAGTTTAGCTGGCAGTATGGAAAATTCCATTCATAATTTTTTTTTTCTCTTCTGTACTGCATCTGTAGCTGAATGTGAAAAAAACCTGAAACAGCTAAACCTTATGAATTCACAAGCACTCAGAATTATCAATTTCTGTTTATCGTAAGAAAGAGAACTACTGACAGATTTCTGCCAGAAATATGTAGCAGCAGTCTGGGGTACCTAAAAGAAATATTCCTTAGTCATTGATGCCTGTTCACAAAAAAAAATTTTATTAAAGGGATTATCCCAAACTCTGCTGGCTGAGGGACTGCTTTCTACTGAAAAGAATCCTAAGATTAAAATTGGGAGGAATATGTTAGAAATTTCATTTATTAATTGTAGTATGTGCTAATTAATTTTTCACGTATGTAGGCTCAACTGAAACTGATAAAAAATCTTGAGTCAACATTAAAACGTGCTGTTCAGTTGGGAGATCCTGGTGTGATTCAGGTTGTTTGTGCAACCCAGTGGAATTTGTGCTTACCACTACTACAACACAATTTGCATCAACATGTGCGAAAGCCATTGATTTCAGTTGCCAACGTCCTTGAAGAGATTGACAGGTAATTTTCAATGCCATGTACTTTTTTGAAAGGTCTTGAAGTATCAAACTAATTTAAAAGTAATTTTCCAGTACATTGTCCTTTCTCTGGCTTTTGTGCTTTTGAAAACCTCTTCACTTGATTTGCACACCTAAGTGGTACTGAAAAATAACTCTACAAATATACAGAGATCAGTTAGTTTACAAGATGTGTGACTTTCTCCTGCAGGGTTAATGAAAGTAATATGCAGTTAAATTTTCTTATTAATTTCAATTAAAAAGGCATGCTAATGAGAATGAAAGAAACAAGTCAGTTATAAAGGGAATATAAATTTTAAAACTAGAGTCTCTTCTAATAACTGAGTTTCACCTTTGGGTGAGTTTTAAGTCGAGGAATTTTAGTGTGCCTTTTTAACAGTTTACACTTAATTTGTAATCCTTAGCATGTTGATTTTGTTGCGTTGCCAARTTCATATGGAAATATCTCGTATTGAAGAAGATGGGGATAGACTAGAGGCTGCACTGGAACATTTGCAAAAAGCTATGCACCTGAACAACCGTGGGCCGTATCAAGAACTTCTGAGACTGAGTTTTAACCGCCTTCGTTTGAGTGCTGTGCTCTACGAGTCCCCTGAACATCCAGAGGATCAGGCRGTAATGTTGATTGAACAGGTAAGTGTTCAATAAGAACACAGAACAAGCTCTGTAGCTGGAATAGGTTTGCTGATTGAATTCCAGCAGAGAAGAGACACATACTTAGGAGAACTGCATATTAGTGGAGCCAGTGTCAACTTACTTTCAGCAAACTGTCTGCTTTGTTGCCTCAAAGTGGCCATGCCGCTTCAAGGTCTGAAGATTGTGATGGAGGATTTTTTTCCCCAGTTATTCAAATATCCCCCCCCTTCTTGGGGGAAGGCAGGGAGTTGTTGATTAGCAGAAATATCAGCCAACAAAGAAGCTTATTAGCAATTGACAACAATTAGGATTTCATTGCATGAGAGAGTGTTTTATTTAATGAGAGGCAGTGTCCAAATTTCTAAATGTCCTAGTTTGCTATGAGGTAACTCAATGTTATGTGACACTTACAAATGCACTAACCAACAAGCAGTCATGGTGCAGTCACTGTCAAGAGTTACTGCGTCGCATTCTGCTGTGCTGTCTCAACACCTGATAAAAATCATGCTGGCAGCTGATTGTTTTTTGTGTTTAAATGCTTTTCAATGCAAATTACTGCAATTACTGTGTTTAAATGTTGCTTAAAAAAAAMAAAACAAACCTCCTTTGACTTTGGCTAATTCTTAGCAGATCAGGATTTTTTAATATATTTTGTAGAAATTCCTAATTACTTCACACTAGAAATGTTACTGTTGGTTGTAAATAAGTACTGTTCTTTGTTTCAGAAGATATAATTTAAGGTCAGGTTATGTACTGAGGAATATGCTGTAAAGGTTCATGAAGAGAATGAGCAGTATTTAGTACTATATTATCCTTGTTGTATTCATGTAAGTGTCAACAGAAATTCCACTGTCACTTTCAATGACAATAATACTGTAGACCAGTATGTAAGATACCTAAAGATAGCCAATTTCTATAGGTATTCTTTTGTTACTAGCAAGTTATATGATATAATTTCTGTTATATATTGTTTGGTAAATAAGATCTAGTTGGAATATAAAATGAACCTTATAACAATTATTTATTTCTTTTATGTAGGCTAAAAGGGGAAAACAAAAGGATAATGTGAGGAAAAAGAGATCTCTTCTGGTAAATGCAGGTCTTGTATTAGCTCCCGACACCTTTCAGATAGTCCTTGACAGTGAAAATGAAGCTAAAGGTAAAGTATGTGCACATGACTAAAAGTTACTACACTTTGCGTGCTCTTAAAGGCTGGACATAGCATGTAGTGGCAACATAAAGGGAATGTTGCAACACAGATGTAGTGACAGTTCTGCTGAATTCTGTGGCAGACTTTYTATCATTTTCATTGGGGATGTTATAGTTGTATTGTGATACTGGGAAAGGTGTTGATTTGCCCTCCAAATTCATCTGAATCTTACTGTTTGGTTGTAGTGTGCTGTAAGTAGTTCTGTTTTTGCTATGCACAGCTCCTGAATATTTTTAAACCAAGGTGATTATTAAGTGGTGTTTTCAGAAATTTCACCCAGTAACACCCGTCATTGATTGCATTGGGTATTGGCTCTCTATTGTAATTGTCTTTCTCTTCTAAAATCTTCCTTTTGAGAGCTCTAGTTTTGCACAGAAGTTTGGGTGTGAATTCATTATTTACTTTCTAAAGCATTGAACATAAATGGGCATGTTCCTTATGTCCCTAACAGCTTCAGTTTGTGATTATACAGCCTCTGCTTGAGGAAACGTGGACTGGGAACCGACTTTCCAGGTTGCTTAAACTATTTTGCATTATCTTGGCAATAAAACAAGTGCACATGTGACTAATTTTGCCAACTTTGAGTAGACCCAGTGTACTCCCACAGTAGAGATTGTGCTGGAGGACGGGAATGCTACAGAAAGAGTCCTGTTGCTTCCAAAGCAGCCTGTTTGTGCCATGGAAAACCATGCAGTTCTCTCATGCCATGTGTTCAGCCAGGCCACAAAGTTTGTCTTGCATATTCCCATTTCAAACTTGATCAACTGCTTACAAACCAGACACTTGTCAACAGATAAACTATTCCACTCTATGCAGTCCTTTTAAGTGTGTGAAAACTATGTTGCTGGAAAACATTTTCATACCTTATTTAAAGAGATCAAATGCATTGTATTTGTGAAAATAAGAGAATTAAAGCTTTTAAATGTTCTGTTGACAGCTGTAAAATTGCTTTTGAAGTTCCTCAGAGCAAATCTTAGTACATATTAGCCTTCCAGGCTGAGTCACTAAAATGACTGAGACAATTTCTGAGTTGCTCTACATTGTGTAGTTACACAGAATTATCATACGCTGGGCAATTCATTGCAAAACATACTTACCAAGAATGGTACGTTGTTGTACCTTCCTCTTTTGGTTGTAAGAGAATCTGCTCATATGTATATCTTAAAGTCAGAAGTATTTTGTATGTACTTCCGGGTATTGTTTGGCAGAGTTTGGAGGATCAAGTTAAAACTTGTTCTGTCTGCGTTATRTCAGGGCGTCTTGCTTAAACTCAAGTGAATGTGTAAACTCAYGGGGTTTTCCAGTCATGTCAGATTACTTGTATTCTCATGCAAAGCATGTCTTCTCTGTCATTACACTACAAAAGAAAAGGAGATCTCTTTTTACTCTATTGGTACTGATTTTTTACCTCAGGGGGCCAGCTTGTTTYTCCCGTGCCTCGTTTTTCTGTGCTTGTTATTTCTTTATTGATATTTCTGCCTAATACCTTGTTGACTAAGTAAAACTGAAGTCAGTATTCTCAAATTAAAACAAAATAACAAGTTGATTGAAAATGTGTTTGATTAGATAAATGTTCTTAAAATTCAGCATGGATGTGTATTTTACATWTTACTTCATCCACTTGCTCTTGAATGAACCTAACTTACAGCGCTACGTGTTCTGTCAGAAAAGAGGTATCATTGAGATATTTGGGTCCTAAACAAGCATGTTCAGTTTTGGATGGGACAGCTGTATCTCAAGATACAGGAAAATGCCAAACTAGATGCTAGTGGGGTATGGGTTTTTTTCATGTTAGTTGGTTGGTTGRTAGTTGGTTTGGGAAAAGCTTAAAGAAATGAGAAATGGGCAGGATTTTGACTGTTTCAGCAGGGAATTATGAACAAAATTGCTTGCCATTCATGTGGATTAAAAAAATTCTAATATATAAAAACTACCTTAATTTTTTATTTGTTTGTCAAGTTTCCTCAGGTAAAAGTAATAGTCAAATAAGCTACCTCTGTGCAAAAGCCCAGCATCATACTAAAAGTGTGGAGAAAGTAGATGAACATTTGAAGCACTTAAGAAATGCAAATGACAGAGAGAGGTAATTGCTATAGACCACATGTGTCTCTTTCATCTTTTGTAGAAGTTTCTAAGAGGAAAGTTTCTACCTCAGATTTTAAGTTACTGGATAATACCTTGTAAAAGGCTGAATATTTCAGTCCCACCTGGCAAAGCATTGAAGCCTGTGTATTATTTGTTGTCCGAGAAGCTCTGTTACATTCCCATGCTATGCAGAATTTTATTCTTTCCCTCATTCTAACCTGTTCTCTCATGTGAACACTAAAATTCACTCATTCTATTGATGTGAGCTCAACGTACAGGGGGATGAGTGGAGTAAGGCTTGTACTTGGTATAGAATTGAGACTTCTTAGGTCCTTGTACCACATCACATTCCACAACTTTTTTGGTAAAAAAACTAAGTAGTCAATTCTGAGAATCAGAAAGATTAATCTGTAGAACAATGACAGGTTTCATTTTGACTATTTATATATCATTCTTGTCATTCTTTATTTAAAAGGAGTTGTMTACTTTTTTGCTGCACTAAAAATTCCTGTGATGAAATTTAAAGGAAGTTGTTTTCTAAAAGATTCTAAATCCAGACTTATTTTTAAGACTTATTTTTACATTCTCAACATTAGTTTTGAAATATTTAGTTTATTTTATGAGAGAGAAAATGAGGATTGTCACGTATATTTCGAAACTTCAGTCTATTATCATCCAAGACAAGAATTTTATCTCTTGATATGCTGAGGAGATTCTTTTTAATTAGTAAAGTAATAGTGTTACCTTTGCTACTGGCATGACATCTTCCATGTATTAATTTTGATTAGATGTATTTTTTTTCCTGATGGCTATCATTATTCACATGATTGTTTATGTCAGTCCTGAACTGTGTAACCTAATTTTGCTTATTAGCTAATTTTGTTTCTGCTTTTACTTTGATAGAATTATACTTTGGGCAGATTTGGCAAAAGTTGCTCGCAAACAGGAAGTGTGGGATGTCTGCCGTGCAGCCTGCAGATTTTGCCTCTTGTATGATGATGTTTTGTTTAGAGGGGCAACCAAGCCCCCTAACCAAAGTAATAAAAAAAGTAAGTGACCAAATTATTTTGAATGTTTTAGGGAACTTTTTCATCTTTTATTAGTTACCGAAAGGAGTCAGACAATATTGTTTTCTTTCCTCCCATTCCCAAAGTTCACTGAGTGTCACTGCATGTTGGCATACATGGAATATCCTTTCTACATCCAAATCTAGAAATCAGCCATTATGTTTTTTTTTGTTGAAACCGTACTGCTGTCAGAAGTGTTTCACCAGTGCTGTAGAGAAGCACTTCTGTGAAATACATCGACCTGTTTTAAGAAGAGAGGTAAATTCCCCAGTGGTCATCTGGGTCTATATCATCCGTGCCTGAGGGAGCTGTAGAAAAATGGGTTGTTAGTCGCTTTGTATGAGGCTCACGTGTTAACATTTTTTTACCCTTCAATMCCCTGTTAGCGAGTTGTTCCTCTGAGGTATCCAGCATTGTACCTCATTCCTTGAGGGTCTGCTCGAAATCTACCACAYACTATGAGCTTTTCAGTTGGGGAAAAAGTGCTTTCAAATCATTCTCTGCTTGCTGGCTGTTAAAGTTTTGTCAGGGAGTTCATAAAACTCATATTTAAGAATAGATGAAGTGGTTTTTCTTTTTGCTAGCCAATGTTAATTGAACCTATTCCATATTSTTTCCAAGGTCCATTTAAAATAGGACATTATTTGCTGGTTTTCTTTCACGAGTTTTGCATTTGCCACATCTAATCTTTCACCTTCTTTCCTACCTAAATGGAAAAATCAGTACACTTACTGGAAACTAAAGGCAACTGTGTGCCAAAAGCGTCATGAATAGAAACTGGTGTGTTCTTATAAACATTTTGTTTATATTAAAATAATCTTAGTCCTTTCTCTTTGTTATTAAATCAAAGAAAAATAACAGTAGTTTTTTCTCTTTACTGATGTGTGTGTTAGAAGAAAGTCAACCCAGTCCATGATTCAAACACAAATACTGTGTCAAATACACAATACTTTAGCCTGTGCACAGTTCAATTCAATGCTTCACTTCCATTAATGCAATAAAATTCAGCTAGAGGCCATGGAGTCTATTCATACTGTAATTTCAGTATGCATGATATGACTGGATCAAGTTATTTGCTGCAAATATTGGAGGTTATGCACATACGCAGCAAAATCATGGGTAATGAGTGCCTCAGCACTGCTTGAGAACAGCTTTCGAGTGCAATAAATGGTACTAATGAAAAAATCATTTGCTTGAAATAGTTAAAAATATTTTCTTGCGAACTATTTCTTGTATACTTAAGAACATGTAGGGATTTGTTAATTCAAAAATGAGGATAATGATTTGCCTGGAAATAATAATGGCTTAATTCATTTTTAGCACAGAAAATCGAAGCTAATGCAACTCTGATCAGTGATGGTCAAGGTGACACCTTATCAGGAAAATCATTGTTACCTGCTCAGTCCTTCTCGTTTGAAGCAGATTTACTCAGAATACTAGCAGAAATAAGGTTTATTAATGCAGAGGTAACTAAATAACACAACTGTCATTCATATTTGATTAGTTTTGTTTGATATCTTGAAGGACTGGAATTTTCAGTTTAGTTATTTTCTATCTCCYTAGGAAGTAAAAGAAAAAGCAGTTTCATGAAGCAACTTAATCAAAATACTGTGTGAAAGTAACTATAGCAATTGTTTCAATGCAGGTGGTGATAATACATTTTTAAAAGAGATTGTACTGTAAATTTTTGACAAGTGACATTGATGTTACATTTCTGGACCCTTAAAATTCCAGCATGATTTTAAAACTTACATATATAAATTATGGTGGTTTTTTTCCATGCAATTATTCAGTAAAATTAGCTGTAGAGTATTTTAGATTTATGAAGTACTTTGCATTGKATTTCATATAGTTGTACATGCCTGTACAACATTTGAAAAAGCATTCTGTATTTTTTAATTTTTGAAGAGGTGACAGCACTAATATAAAGTTGTAGTCTGTTTTACAATGATAACCTGAGTAGATAATTTATTTCGCTGTGTCTTTTCAGGCAACTGTTCATTTATTAAAATTGCACGGAATTGAACTGAATGATCGTGCTGTACCTCCGGAAGCTGAAAACCAGAGTCATCCAGGAAGTGTTTCAAATCTTCCTGAAAGTGATCCAGAATGGGAGATGTACAGGTGCTCTCCTATAATACATATCAAGACCCAGGAACTCTTAACAGACTGTTACTATCAGATGCAGATGATAATTGCAAAAGCTCCTTAGTAAAATTCATTGCCACCAGATTATTCATTTTTGTAGGTAGTCATGGGAAATGGGAAAAGGATCTAAAAAATGGTTTGAAATATTTTTCCTTAAGTTTCTTTTCATTCTGGAGTGTGGATTTAATTTTTCATTTAACATTTATTTCTCTGAAACTAGAAGCTAGTATTCCAAGCTGAAAAACTATTAAATTGTTGTATATTGACACTTAGATCATTATATTCTATATTTTAAAATGTTTCACCAAATCAAAAAAGCCTTTGTCTTGCTTAATAGCTCCTTCAACTATAACAATTTTGTAGTTCTGCATGAATACAATGAATTATTTCAGTTTGCAAATCTAACGTGTTCTGTCCAATCGACTGAAATCAATTTGGGACAGCAGAATATAGCAAGTACTGTTTTTTACTCTCTGACACAATTATTTCTTGCGAAGGAGAAGAGGGGGTAGAGACATTTCTGAAGGTGATGCTTGGGCTCTCTGCTGTTCACATTCATAGTAACACTAGCCTTACTGTTACAGTGGTCATGTCCTGAGAGAGCAGGATGGCAGAGTTGTGCCCCTAGGTCTGTTCCTTAAGTCTGAAAATAAAGTAAAGTTTCTCACACTGTCCGCTTGCGAATGTCCAGTAGAACGGGAAAAATTGTGAACTGATCAGAACCAAGGGGCAAAGAAGATAAGAATTCTATTCCAAAATTTGCTACTAGCTATTTTTGATTTTACCTAATTAGATTAAAAACCCATAGGAAAAAAAGCACTTTGATCTCCTGTGTCCTGTACTTTCGTTGACGTAGTAATACCCGGTGTCAGTTTGTGCTTTTGATTTTATGACTTCGTAACCAGGGCCGTTCTGTATGATCATTCAAGAGTGTAATTTTAATATTGTTTTTTCTGAGTAATAGTACATTTTGATAACTAAGAAACAATAAAGTAATTGAAAGAAAGTTATCACATAGACTATGAAAAAGGTGTTACTCTATTTAAAATGGATACAGCATTTCAGAGCACTTGGAAATGTCTTTGAGTACAAGGACACATGCAGTTTTAAGTAAAAAGACATGCCCTTAACTCTCAGATGGCATGCCTCACTTATATCTGCATTCAAGTAGAGCCTTGCCATGGTTATTTAATGATTTCTGGCACTGATGGTGGRTTTACGCATGCATTTAGAAAACATGAATGTGCGGATGAAGCGTAGACAGTATTTTTTAAGCTTACAGCATTTAAATGTCAGAGATGATTCATTTTATGTTGATGCTACTTATTTTCTTGAACCACCTTCTCATCCAAGTAAAACATAGGTCAGTGGATGAGGACTTAATAAATGCAACTAAAAGGTAACTGAATYTTTGTTCTTGTTGGTTGAGATGTAGTACTGCATATTTAACCTTACTATATCATTCTTTCTATGGCTGAAGCTTTCAAATAACAGCTTCTTGATGTAATTTTACAGTTTATGGATAGACAACTTATCTCGGTATGCTATGGAAAATTTTCAGCGTGCAGCTGAAATCGGAGAAGAATTGAATGAAGCCTGGATTGTTCACAATGCTGCGGTGTATATCTTAAATTATAACAGGCATCTGATTTSTTCAGGAAGACAGAGGGACATTATTGAGTATCTGCAGACTCTTCTTGGAGCCATCAAGACTGTCGGGCATGAGGGGTAAATTCAGAAATTTGGATATGAATGTATTATTATTTTTTAAAACATAAAAAACATTATTGCAAACACTGAAAGTCACTTTGCACTGTGAAATATTTATTGCTGGCTTTCATTGATAGTGTTGTGCTGTGAAATATTTATTGCTGGCTTTCATTGACAGTGAAAGAGCCTTGGTGTTTGTGTAGAATAGCTCAGGAGGTAAATTGTGAAAATTAAATTTTAATCCTTTCTATTTGTTCGTTGTTACTACACCGTGTAAGCCATATTAACTTTAGGCCAATCAGTATTACTTTACTTTTGTCATGGAATAGCAACATGTGCATGCAAAGTAGCATTTTGTTAAGTTAGTCTGAAAACTAGGAAAATTCTCTTACACTGGGAGTTTGCACAACAGTTCAAAATGTGTTTGCTTGCTGTCAGTTCTCAGAAATTAAATTATATTGTACATATAGTTCGTTGCAAGTATTTCTAACCAGTGTAAGGTGGTTACTAGTGGTTCTGAAATAAGAGAAAATAGAAAACAAAATAAATAAAGAGAATGGGTGCATTAGTAGACCATGGAAATGGGAACATAGATTCCACAGTGGTTTTGTACAATAAATGCAATGTGAGAATGACTGCCCATTAAGGAGTAGATAYTCCAGTCAAAGTCGGACTGTGGGACAAAATCCTAGATATTTTGGCACTTCATTGACAGTGACCTCAGCACTGGGTAGGGTAAGGACCAGGCAAGGAAGTCTCTTTCAGCAGTACTGGGGAATGAAACCCATATTTCAGTTTGTGCAGTGATGAAGACTGGTAATATCTGCTAATTAATTTTGATACTTACAGTAGTATGTACTAGCCATAACCTATTATTTGTCATTCAGTGATTTTCTCAAAAAAAAAAATTCCAGTTTGGTAGTGGATTGGCATGATAACCATAAAAATATGTGAAGGGCTTGGTTTAGGGTAATTTTATAGAAGATAGTTACTCTATTTGTATATAGCAACACATTAATAAAAAGTTATGTCTTAAGTGTTGGTCTGATATAAATACAGATTTTTTATTTAATTTTTTTAAATTTTTTTTTCTGTGATGAAGAAGTTTCACTTATAGAAAGAGTGAAAAACATTGAGGTGCATTGAAAATTAATTGTGGGATGTGTAGTTTTAACTATTAAATTGCTTTACCAATGGGCAAATTCTTTTGTAATATCCATACTGTTGCTTTCTAAGAAAAAAATAGATTGTCAAGTAATGCCTATTACTTGAAATCAGTAACTTTATTCCTGCCTTTTATTTTAATCTGATGCAGTATGCACTTCCGATTTTTGTTTTCTTCTACAGTAGTACTGAAATTCTACTGATGTTGTGTAATGCTTTGGCTCGAGGCCTAATTATTTCTTGGATTCCTAAGACAAAACCTGCTAAGAAAGAAGATACAGCAATAGACAGCAGCAGAAAAGCAGCAACAAAGAAACGGGAAAAAGCAGATGCCATCCAGTCTTTTTCAGTAGATCCTAATGGACTTCCTGACATCAAAGCTGCTTTAGAGGTAAAAACCCTTAGTTTTTTGTAGGTCCTTTTGTTCTGCTGTCATAAATTGCAATTCCTTCAAATTCAATAGTAGAAAATTTGGAAAAAATGTAGCTACCTTTTTTTAGRTAGTTTCTGCCACCACAAATCCTCCCCAAATGCACACTGGAGCTGTTAACCAACTTGGGGCTGAGGACTGCAGCTTCTGTTTGCCCTGTGGGTTGAATTAAAGGAGATGTTGTTAGGCTTAGAGATTCATGTGCAATAATTTAAAAATAGCTACTGGACAGCATGCTCCATACAAGAAACCTCTCACATTTCCTCTGTGTTTCGCATTTGCTTTTTCACTTCTTGGTGTTTAGGTTTGTGAATTTGCACTAAATGCAATGACTGAAACCACACCTAAGGAAACAGTCTCTATTGCTGCACAACAACAGGTCATTGCTACCTGGGTGAAAGTGATGCAGTTAAATCAGCAGCAGATCAGACAACAGCTTGGGACTCAGGAGGAGGTATGATTTTCCTGAAATCCTGCATAATGTTGAAACYTAACAAAGAAAAGTTAAATTCATAAATTCATTTCATAATGACTGAAATTATCAAGGTCTATTTTCATCTGTATATTTGCGTAAAATATAGAAACAAATTTTGGCTGTACTTCCTTATGGAACATAGCAAATTTTTCACACTGGGTATAGCAGTGAGTCAACATTTCTTAAGCCTTCCTTCGGTTGTTWGCTGCTGTGGTGATGTTTCTCATATGATGACGGTTGAGCGAAGTTGATTTTGAAATCATAAATATAAAATAAGAAAATGAATGCATTAAAAGTGTTAAGGAAAATCAGCTGTATTTATGTCAACATTTACTATGGTCTTTATATATAGATTACAGACCTAGTAAGCTGAAAATAACAATTTTATTCTTATATGTTTATTTTATAGTGATATAAGGAATTTGCCTTCATTGTACTGTTGGTGTGGGCTTTTAGTGTTGAAATTGTAGAAGTTCAGACTTGGCAGTGTCAATTAAAAATATATAAATACAAAAATTTGACCATTGTAAGGACACAGTAGAGAGAACTTGCTTACAGCAAATTGAGGTGCTCAAACATTATTACTATTATAKTAGTAGTAGTAGTAGTAGTAGTAGTAGTAGTAGTAGTAGTAGTAGTAAATATGAATGTGAATACCTTGTAATCTCATTTAATGTCCTGAATGGTATTAGCTTGCAAAAAAAAAAAAAAAAAAACCCTCCTAATGTGAATTTTTAATTTCTGCTTAGAATAACGATGAAGCACAAAATCCCCTGGCAAGAATTCTTGTTGGTCTGGAAATGTATTCGTGTAATGGCTTGGGTCTCATGGATTTCACTGTTCCTAGCTTATCTCAGGTATTTTTTGGTTTTTTTATAAGCTCTTAAGTTTTAAGAAATTGCATACTATGAATTTGATTTCAGATTAAACTTTAAAAGGAGATTAAATTATTTTTGGAATTTTTATATTACCATTATTGTCTTTTATGAAGAGATTAAGTATTTATGACAGGAAGAAGATTTTTGTGACAGAATAGTTTCATTTATCCAAAGACCAGATAGCATTAGAATACAAGCATTAGAGTAATGCTTGTGTCGCTCTAACGGATTGTTTTGCTAACCATCAGATAAGCAYAATGGTTCAGGTGAGTGATTCTGTACACAGTCATACTTCTAACCTTTCATTTTTCTTCTGGAAAAAAACTTAATAGAAGCATAGAGTTGTTTAGGTTGGAAAAGCCCCCTGACATCTTGGAGTCCAAGTGTTCCCCCAGCACTGCCAAGGCCACCGCTGACCCTGTCTGCAAGTGTCACATCTGCAAGACTTTTCAATTCATCCGGGATGGAGACAGAAGGCAGCTGTGCCAGGGCTGTGCCAGGGCTGTACTAGGCCTGTACTAGGGCTGTACTAGGGCTGTACTAGGCCTGTACTAGGGCTGTACTAGGGCTGTACTAGGCCTGTACTAGGGCTGTTCTAGGGCTGTACTACCCTTTCATTTCCCCAGTGTCCACCCTGCACCTCCCGTGGTGCCGCTTGAGGCCATTGCTTCTTGTCCCCTTGGGTGTTACCTGGCACAAGAGACTGACCCCTACCTGGCTCCAGCCTCATTTCAGGTACTTATAGGGAGCTTTAGGGTTTGTATTGGAAGCTTTCAACAGAGAACTTCACCTGATAGYGGATTTACTTTCGACAGTTTGAAGACAGAGCGCAACTACCCTGGTTACTGTTTATTGATTGTGAATAGAAACAAGCAGGTTGCCGGGACAACCGCAAAACTACTGCCAATGACTAGGGTCTGGATCCTTAGAAATATATAGTATCTAATCCTAGTTGTTCTACAGATTTATGTCAAATAATATGAGTTAACTTTAGCTATCACTTCACTGGCTTAGTTTTGTATAGCAGTATTGTAGGATCTTCATTTGAACCAAATAATTAACAATTACCAGTATCCTAAAAAGTGGAACTTTGACATGTACAAAAGAAATCCAATGAAAAATTTTAGATTCTTTAATTACCCTATATACGAAATTATCTATAATTATATATATGAATATGTATATATGTTTAGGTTGGAAAAGAGCTCTAAGATTATGGGGCTAAGCTCTCCCAAGCTACCATATGTAACAACATGCGTAGCAACTCTATGTTACAATTACTGGTTGTTGCAAAACCAGTTCTATGTCCCATTCTTACACTGGCTTAACAGAAATGGGCTCTGAATTTTGAAAGTCCTGTTTTGCTGATTTTTGGAAGATGACTGAGGACATAGAACAAGTTCTGGCAGATACTTCTGGTCAAAAGTCATGTACACTTACAATTGTATTTGCACACGCTATGGTAATACTTACAACACAGTGAGTGAGGCCTCTCCATTGTATATTTTGATTATACTTGTAGCTCTTTCATTTTCTACATGGCTTTATCACATACTTGTTCCATGCTCAGGTGGGTTGTAAGGAACATACAGCTGTAAGCATGTAATTGCTGTAGAAAAAAGCATATTAAACCCCTGAAATTGAAACTCTTTTGTCCTTTTCCTCTCTTTTTTATTTTTTTTTTATCCTAGTTAGCATCATTGGCTTTAGAATGCAGTTGGTCAGATTCCTTATTGGAATTGCAGACACTGACACGACTTACATATTTTGCATTTGTATCACAAGACTATGATAGAGTGATGACTTGTTCAAAAAGGATGTTGGAATTAGATGAGAATTTGGTCCACAATACAAATATTAAGAAATACGGCAAGTAAGTACATAGAATTTTACACGATATGATGACGTACTTGGACTAAGTTTTGAAGAACGTTAAGAGAGTAAATGTGTCTAGTCACATAATCAAAAATGAAAGAATCTTTTTAACAAAGAAATTGTACAATTAGAGATGAAAATGAAAGTGATGTGGGAGAGCCACATCATGGTTCTGGACACAGTTCAGACAGRCAGATGAAGCTTGCTATGCACGCTAGTCAGCAGCTATACATCAATGTGTTTGGGTGTCTTCCCAGGGAGCACTGCTTTCCTGCAATGATCTCTGGCTGATGCCTGATGATTTTTGCCTTTTCTTTTTATATGCCCTTTTATATATTTTATGTACCCTTTTAGATATTTTCTGTGCCCTTTATGCCTTCTTTTTACCCTTACAGTTGTAATTTTTGTAACCTGATATTACATCCTCAGAAAGAGGCTGGTGAGCCCTATACTATCTGAAAACTCAAGGTTTCAACCTTGGTTGCAACATATTTTGTAAACTGGGCTCCAGCTTCAGCTGATGGGGAATTCTTTAAAATAAGGGAATATTACTTCATTTATTAAATTTCTTATTGGCAAATTCTCAAAGTCGATAAAAATTATATACACGTTATACAGGGTGTATATCTCGGCGTGCTCCACCTTGAAAGTGCACCTAAGATCCTACTAAAACACTGAAGTAAAACCCTTTTATTCCTTTAATTGTGCCTGCCTCATAATTGTAAGTCCAGCCAAAAGGCATCATGGCAATCATAGTATTTGGACACTTTTATAATCTCCAAGCAGAAAATAGATAATTCTACTTCTTTTACTGGTACAAATTGCTTCCAGTGCTCTTCTGGCTCTAATACACGGAAGGGCTGCATGGTTCACRGATCAGGTTGGAGTGGGGGTGATGGAAGATATGAACATCTCCTGTATTCCTGCTGTCAGGCAGTTTAGAGTCTTTATTACCACCTATGCATATGGGTGGAATAGAAWTGTAGCTAATTGCTTTAGAAGCCCAGTCTCTAACTTGAATTTCACAGAAAAAATAAAATCATATATAAATTATAAAAATTATAAAAAAGATTGTACGTTTTKAACCTTCTATTATTTAGAATAATTTCCTCCAAAAGCAGAATTAAATTTTATCCAAAGAAGAAAGAGTTAACTCCATTTAATAGCATTTTTTTGGAATGTAGGAAGTTTGAAATAAACATGAAAAATTGCAGATACAATATGTTGTTCATTCCCCCCCCCCCCCCGAAAAATAATTGAACGTTTTTTAAAAAGTATTCTGTTCTTTGAAACTCATGGTTGTTTTCTACATGGATTTAAAACCATATAAAAGCAAGCGAGTTATTTTAGTATGAAATAGATAGTTTCAGAACATCGCAGAAGTTGAGAGAATCCTTGCTGCACATCTAGCAATCTGCAAACCAATGAAAGATTGAGTGTTTGATTCTGTAGTCAGGAGTTGTCAGCGCGGTTTCCGCAGCGGGGGAGACTCAGAGCGGGGAAATCCTGARCTGTTCACTCGTACTGTGCTGCCCTCTTGTGGACACAGAGCGCCACTGCACGCCGTGCTCACGCAGAGTCGGAAGGAGCCGGCTGAAATGGCCGCTCTTCTCTGTGTGCTTCACTTTGYAACTAAGACACAAAAAAATCCTGCACATTGTGTTTATTCTTTTCTTAATAGGTTTCTGTTAACCAGTGGTATCGATTTATTTGCAAATTATTTTTTAATGATTAACTCTGGGACTGAAATCGACATTGTTTTCTCCCACATGTAGTGGAATAGGATCCATATGAATTTCTCCAGAGCTCTGCACATACTTTACCAGACATAATCATTACTAATTCTGAAAGAAAGTATCAAAAATTGTCTAATTTTCCTGATTTCTGTTTTTAATTGCTTGTTGTGTAAGTTCGACTTTGGACTAATACTTTTTTTTTTATGTACAATTGTGAAAAACAGGGAGCAAATGAAAAATCTATTTCCTTGCTAAATATACATAATAGCTTTTTTAATGTGATTTCACAATTATTTTCATTAGAGGTATGAAAAAAGGTATTTTAGTTTACCTTTTCACAAAATGTTCCAGTTTTGAAATGTTTTCTAATTTAAAAAGAAAGCTCAATAGAAGGATTTGTAACGTCTAAAGCAAAAGACATCTATATAATAGCAACTTGAAAACTTTATTAATAGAAATTGGTATGGTCTCAGCCTGTAAGACTTGGCACTTCTTGAAGTATTTGCCTTTATGCAGGCTTGGTAACAGAGTGAGACAAGAAATGTTAAGTATTATAGCCTGTATACAAGGAAAGAGCATAATGGAAAATTTGTCTGGAAGAAAAGATCTGCGCGTAGCAGCATCTGAAGCCTTTGTTCAGAGTGCAAGGTATGTTTTATGTTGAGAGAGAACTAATATAAAACTGATCTAAAATTTGATTGCAGCTTTGGGGATCATCATATTTTCTCCCAAGACTGATAACAATCAGAATAGTTATGAGTTGACATGTTTAACACAGGATTTGACAGATTTTTGCACTTCAGTAAATTTATTGACTACTTTCCACATAGCTGATCTTGTAGTGTCACAGAATCATAGGAAAATGTGCTTGGAAGGGACTTCAGAAGGCATCTAGTTCAGAGTSCTGCTCAAAGCAGGGCCAGCCCAGGGTTTTATCCAGTCTGGTCGTGAGAACCTCAAGGAATGGAGACACTCAGTGAGTCACCTGCTCCACTGGGTGACCGTGTACCCATGGGGACATTTCTGAATCTTTCTTATTTTAACTGATGCCTGTTCGTGCTCTTCCTGCCATCCATTGTGAAGAGCCTGAACGTTGCTTCTCACAGCAATTGCACTCCAGACCCTGAATCATCTCAGTGGCCTTCACTGAACTCGTGGCGATTTGTCCATGTCTGACACGTATTGGATGGCCCAGAATTGGATGCGTGAGTCTAAACATGGTCTGAAGAGTGCTGTCTAGAGGGTGATCAGAAGATTGCTGCTTTCAAAAACTTGCTCTTTTAAAAATAGTAACACTGTTCACCTGTTGATTACATTATACCAATCCACAATTTTTCAGAAAAATTTCAAGCTTTTTCTCACTCAGGTGAGTACTGTGTTGTATTTCAATCTGGAGAATTTCAATTTTATTAATTTTATTATTTCAAAGTAACATTTGCATAAAATACACTCGAAGCAATATGAATGCAGCTAGAGGCATTTGGGGCATATTCCTGTGTTTACAGTGATGCTGTGCTAAACAAAACCCATAGTATGGTAATAATTGTGTTCTATTTTTTAATGTTTCTCAGAATGAGAAATTAACATAATAGGAAAACAAAAAAAGTATATTATTCCAACAAGAACATCTTGAGGAAGTTTCTGCTTCTTAAAACGAATGCTCTTGAGCTAAGAGTATGCAGAAATGCAGTAAAATTACTTATATACTACTKATTCCTACTTCTGCTGAGTGTGTGAAGTTGTTCAGTATTTAAAAAAGAAAACAGCTTTTCCATGAAGCCCTTATGCTAAGCCCTCATTGCTGAAGTTATGTATGGTGATCACTAGATCGTTTAAACCCAAATGTTCGTATAAGCAAAATTCTTTATTATGGCTAAAATGTGGTTGTTTTTCCGTATTAAGTTCTACTTCACTTTCTTCAGGTATGCAGGTGAAGCTGGAAATTACTCCCTTGTCATGTTTGCGGCTAGGCACTTTTGGAATGCCTGTTTACCTTTGCTGGGCTCACCACATGACAGAGAACAGTTTAGAGAACCTACTGAAATAATTATTAAGAACATAATTAAAGCAGAATCTAAAAACAAACAGGTAAGAATTTCTAATAAGTATTTTTAACTGTGCTTTTTTTTTAGTGATTGGTGCTGATGGTAAAGAAACTTCAAGATACCTTTCCTAAGAGGCAAAAGTGCCATAACCGTAAACACATTTATGGTTTCTTACCTGTGGTCACATACCACACATTCACACATACACTGACTCATACAGTCTTTTATTCCATTTAGTGATTCTTCTGGTTTTAGGCAATTGTCAAACTCACAACAATTTTCTGCAAATTTGCTGTCTGATTTTTGCTGTMGTGTTTCACTTGTTGAAGCTTACAAAAAAAAGTTTAGAAAATATTCAAAATCCAGAAAAAAAGCCACCTCGGCAAGTGTGGTAATAGATACGGAAAATATGATAATAGATCCTACAACATTACCTCAGAAAAAAAACCTCACTTTGTAAAGGTTTCTCCCACCTGCAAACTCAAATTTCTTTTACCTGCAAAAGAAAAGTTTTACTTTGCATAAATTCAGGCTTTTAACAGACCGTTTAGCACTTTGGCAGTAGGAAGGAGTTAAAATTTAGACGGTGCTGGGAGTTTGTGATAAAATTAAATACTTGTTGATTATGAACAGCACGTGTATTCCTCCTGAAACAGTATGCAGGTGATGTCTGTCAAATGACCTGACCCTAACCCTAACCCTGACCATGTGGAATTTCTTCTGCATATGAAACATCCATACACATTAACAACTTTTCTTACTTCAAAGCTCCATGGAGCTGATCCATTTCTCTTTTTGTATTAGATTTACATATCAGCAAAGCTTAGTGATATGGATTGGCTCACGAAATAAAAGTTCAATAATATTTAAAGATATATGTCAACTAAAAGATAAAGGGTTCTTCCCCCCCCCCCCCCTTTTTCTTTAGGAAAAGAAAGACGTATGTCCTTTGCATCAGTGGATTACAAAGGATTTTCAAAATATTGGGTTATCAGTTGGATGCTTTCATCCAGGTATGTACTTCTTTGTGTAGATCTGGTAATAAAAGGAGCCCCGGTATTTTGTAATCATTATTCTAATTCTGCAGTATATTAATAAATCATTTGAATATACTTCAAAGGTGCTGAGGAAGATCTGACATTAAGAACCGCCTTATATGGTCTGTTGTTCCACATATATGCTGATAAAGCTGACTGGGAGACAGCACTAAAACTCCTGGATGAAGCTATTCGAGTTTTGCCTCAGACAAGACAAAAACTGTAAGTGGTTGACTTCTTTTTGTTAAAATAAGCATTTTGGTTCTTCAGAAGTATAAAACTCTTGAGTATTTCTTTATTTTGCACTGGGAAAATATTACTACTTTTTATCAGCCTGTCCTTACAGCACAGAACACTTGTGTCTTTTCTGTGAAAAAGACATACGTATGCAGTACTTCCTGACATTAATCTGTCAATAATATTTGTAAATTTATTTTTTGAAGAATTTGTATGTAAGCAGTATCTTACTTCCCACGAAAATAGATGCATGAAATGTGGCTATATAGCAGAAGCTTTAGTTTACTAACTGCAAACCCACCTTCATTAAATGGAAGCTCAATTATCTAGGGTACCGTTTGCATAATCTTATCTGAGTTGGAGGTTTTCTGACCTTTTATGCCATTTTATAAGCTTTGCATCTTTGTGCTAAACTGGTATGAACTAGTGTATTTATCTTGTTCACAAAGTTACTTCACAGGTGCAGATGTAAATAATTTGCAATTTGTTTGATCTTTTTCTAGCCTGATTTTCAAACTTATGGCTACAGCGAGGGCAGGATTGGGACGCAATTTTATGATGACCGTTCAGAAGATCAGTCATGAAAATAAAGATTATTTGTCACACATGTGGCGTCACATGGTAACGGTCTCCAGAAGTATTGTTGGACAGTTAAGCTGTTTTCAAAATGCAATCMTTGCTTTGCAGGTTTGTCAGTTCTTACTGTTTGCTCCCATGCTGATGGAATGATGTTTCTCAAGTGATTTGTAGACTGCTAGTTCCTGAATGGGTAGGGAGGACGTGTACTTTACTATTACTTTTTATAACTTCGAGGTTACTCTTCAGTAGGGAAACTATATATGATTGAATCTTTGTGTCCAGTAAAATTTTAGTTGAGTCCTGCCAAAGAAAAATGTCCAAGAGTAGCAAGAGGTTTTAATAAAACAAAGAATTAACTGCTGGTAGAGTTTTCTGTTACGTTCCATTTCTCATAACTCTGATTGTGATGCCAATAAAACTGCTCGTGTCAAATTATTAGTTTTTGCTTCTGTTCAGACTACATAAAACTTTAGAATATAGTTTTGATGGTTTACATAAACAAATATTAATTCACTCCTCCTTTATGACTCTTTTAGAACGGAGAAGAGGAATGGCAGAAAGTTGAGTCCCTGTTGGAATTTGCAGAATGGTTACATTGCAATCACTTTCCCCTCAGTGATGCTATTAAACCCTTGGACTGGGCAGTAGATCTCTTGTTACATATGAAATTTCCTGTGCAATCCGCACAAGAGGAAGGTATGTGATATGTGTATCTTCTTCAGAGGGATTTCTCAGCAGGAAAAGCAAGGAAGATTTTAAATTTACAGCTTAGTTATTGCGAAGAATGGCACAAGCTTGCCTGTCATTTCTCTTGCATTTACTGGCATTTATTCAGTGGAGCCTCTGATTGTGAATTCTGTGTTATGCTATAGAGACTTACCCTCAGTCTTTTGGTGTAGTAAGGTACCACTCCCCTCTGACACAGGGATTTCTGAGTTGTGAGATGCTACCAGAAAGCAGTGCTGGACAGTTTGTTTCAAGTGCTTCCTCACAGAGGGACAGAGGAAACCGAAGGAAATAGTTTCTGTGCTGAGATTTGGGTACTTAAGTCCATTGCCCTTTCCTGGCCTTTATCTTAGCATTAATTTTTCAAAATGGCTTTCAAAGGGATGTATGCTTTCAGCTACTTCTGTAACTGTAAAAATTCTTTGGTCCTTTTGCACAAATGTCCACTTGTACTGGTATGACCTCAGTGCTCTGTTTTGATAATATACCGAAATATTCATTTGGGAAAAAAATATCTGATTTCTGGAACAATGTTGTACTGCGTGTCATAAATGAGCATCTGCTCTGCTTTTCTTTTTCGTGGGGATAATGACATTGATAAGACATGTCCTTCTGGTGTTTTCATTGAGAAAGACAAATGTTCAGTGTCTCTACTATTACACAGTTGATTAGTAGCAGTAGCAATATTCTATTCCTACTTTCCTCTTTTCATATTCAATTCAGAAAATTTAACTTTAGAATACATTTTTGCAATGCTGTCACTGAGAGCATGTGGTTTTGGTTTTTTTTAACAGAAAATAATGCTATACCAAAATTGTTGCCTGAAGAAAATGCTAAGATGGACAGTGGAGAAAATGGTGCCATGCCCAAAATTAATTTGGAAGATTTGAGTAATATTAAACAATTGGAAGCTTTATTTAGAGCACAGACATTAATGGCTTTAATTTCTGGTTGTAGTTCTTCCTTTCATCAGCAGCACTGTTTGATGGCATATGCCTGTATTCTCCGTATCTGGCAGGTGAGATCATATGTGTTGTGTTACTGTAATATGGCCAGTTTATTTCATATATTCTTGTGTAATTATGGTACCAGCTATTCATTTGGTGTTTTAACTATGTCCGTAGAGTTTTCTGCTTTATCATGCAGTTAGTATATTTTCTCAGGTTTAAGGATTAAATGAGAAAGTAGTTTCTCTCAGGAAAATGGAGAAGAGACATTAAGGTAAAAGCAGTGGCCCATTTTTTCTCTAAAGTGCATTCATATGTTTTTTTTTGCAATAGATTCTAAAATTTTGTATTTTTAATTGTTGAGGAATTTTAGAAGTGGCAGAATACGTACTGAAACATTTCTGGCAGTTTCAAAGAATAATGATTTTGAATGGACCTTCATGAAATTGAATCAAAAGGGCTGTCATTTGACTGAAAGGAATTGTATAGACTGGCAGTGTTCACTGATTAATTTCTCTATTTACTTCTTCGTACTTAGAACCTTTCAAATCAAACAAATCTACCTCAGTTCTTGTAGATATGCCCAATTGAAATGGCTGTTCAGAATCCCAGCAATGATCATAGAAAAACAATTATACATTAAATAAAGTAAATCTTCGAAGGCACTAAATCTGTACTTGATAATAGTAATGCAACAAATCATTCTAGGGACAGTCTCACTTGTGAGGTACCAACTAGATTGGTAAACTGTATCTTGTGTATAATTTTATTCCAATTAGATGTAAAAGCCTGCCATTAGTTACCACAGAATTGGTAACTGTGGTAATTATGATCAAGAATTCATTCTGAAATTAGTTTAACGTGAGATGTGAGACAGGAATTTGCAAAATAAATATTGAATATTGATATTTTCAGATTTACACAAGCATAACTTTTAATATTCTACATTTGACTGAGTGTCTTACTAGAGAAAAAAACAACTTGAAGAGAGTACTACTGTTCAAATAAGCCATTAAAACTAAAACTTTTCAGGAGTTAATGCTGCCATCACTACCCACCAGTGCCAGTGGTAGGATAATAACAGCAATTCTAAGAATCATATGTACAGCTGAACAGTGTTGTGAGAAAAAAAACCCCATGTGATATTAAAGGAATTAAAGTACTACAGGACACCTTGTTTTGTCGTACAAAGTAAAGCAGACCTGACTGCCGACAACTGCTTCAAAGCAGGCCCTTCAGTGTTAGGACTCCATAAATAGCTCAGTAGAAGTTCTTAAAATGTTCTCTGAAAACCTGAATAACCCAAGCCAAATCAGCTACCTCTAACTTTTTAAAAGATGTGTTACCTTTAATTTGAAATTTTCATTTGTTGTGAGTATCCAGCACTATTTTTTTGATTCATATTTTATGCCCTACTCTTGATTGCTCCATCAAACATATTAATCGTCTCAAAATAAGGTGATTTTTGTTTTGTTGGGGTGTTGTTTTTTTTAAATGTTGGGTAAGATCATAATCTGTGCTATTGCATGGACAGAGAAACGTTCAATCAATTCTTTTGTATGCTTAAATATGTAGAAATTTCTTTTATATATATGTAAAATATATATAGCAGCATTGTGGAAGACTAACCCAGGAGGAGGACAGAGTGACTCTTCACTGTCTTGCCAATTAATTCCATGTAAAACTCATCCCTTGTAGAAAATTCAGCCATTTAGACCAGTGATTTGAAAGAAAGGAATTGAATTTGCAACCGTAGGGGTTACAAAAAGGTAGCAGTCATATTTATCAGAGGGATGTTCTTATCTTTTGACAGTTCTGCTGTTTAATTGCATTGTCATGATCGTCCTAAGTGCTTGTACAAATAATGTGAGCATCCAGGAGTCTCTGAAATAGTTGGTTTTTTTTTTAAGAAGGTGACAAAATTAGAAGGTGACAATTGTTAAAGCTTTGGATAATGACTTGCAGTGGATAATAACTATTACTAGAAACTGACATTATTATTATTACTGCAAATTGAAAATAATTAACTGTAATTATCTGATTGTCTAGGTGTCGTTGTCATCATCAGGGCCTATTACAAAAGGTTTCTCAAAGACTTCACAATCTAAAACTCCTAAAAAAGAGAAGGACAAAAAGAAAGAGAAACAAGTAAGACCCACTTTTCTGTGGAATTAAAGCAACCCTCTGTTCCTGTACAGACTCTCATAACCTGTGAAGAATTTCCCTGTAATCTGTGTATCATACCTTCAGTCTTGACAGATCATGAATTTACAAATACTTTTTCTTTCCTTTGGTTGTTGCCTTGGTCGATATACTGATGTTTGGTAAAACCCATAGTGAAGAGATCCAAAAAACACCCCAAATCTCACAAAACTTCAAAGGATATTAAGCAAATATGTTCATTTCTTTAGCTGAATATTTAATACCAATAAGATTGTTACTTTGATCTCTTAAGTGTCCTTGTTTTTATTATAGGTTGAAGTTTCTGTTGTGAAGAAGCCTAAAGGGAAAGAATCAGTTGATACCTTGCCAGCAAATGTGGAAGAATGGGCCCAGTATAATTGTCCCAATGAAATCAGAGATACTTTTAAAGAGAAAACAAATAGTTATGGTATTAACTGGGATAATTTCCCAAAACCTGTAAGTATACTCCCCAAAATTCTAGAGCATTTCCTATTTAGGAAAAAATCAGTGCCAGAAAACATTTTAGTTTTTCTGTCTGTGTATGTTCAGACAGCTGTCCCAAATACTTTTGTGTCAGTATTAGGATTTCAGGAGGTGTTAGCCTGTCCTCTGCATGCTGAAATGAGCTTAGAGCAGATGTTTTCCAGCTTTCTGTGCACCTTGCTGCTCTTTCAGCCAGAAAGTTTCTTTGGGTCTTTTATGAGGTTTATTTTGGAACTGAAGATATAATCACTAATTTAAAATTTATTTTCTACAAAAATATGTTTATACTGATTGAATTTAAATAAATTTCTTTTCAGACTCGCACTTTGTATTTTATGGACCTTTTATCTAAAGAACTACAGAAAATATTTTGCCCCCATTTGATTCTTCCAATCTTTCAGCTGGCTGAAGTTATTGCTAATGAAGTTCTGGAATGTAGAAGTCTGTCTGATCTCTATCACTTTCGGTTTGTAACCTTTATTTATTTTAAATAAAAGAGAAACTGAATGGAGTGGCGCATCTATTAATGTTTTTCCAAGTAAAACCAGACTTTTTTGTGACTTAATATTTTAAATTTATAATGGTTTTTCATTTATTTTYGTTTGGGKTTTTTTATGCCATTTAATAGACTTTTGATGAACTGGTTTGATGCAATTAAAGCCACTAAGATTATTTGTTACTAAACGTGATCTCCACTTGGGAAGCATATGAGATTATAAAGCTGGGCCACTTTTTGAAATGCCTTATTGCCATCTAGCTGAAAAAAAGCAAAGTCAAAAACRTTTCTATGAAAGTCTTATCTATTAAGTATTCAAAAGGCAGACTCCCTACTTGCTTCAAAAATATATCCATCTTAAGGGCACAAAGCAGTTTCCCTAGTAAGTGGGAAGAATCTCCCTGATAGATTTGTGTTTGTGACCAAAATTACGTTATTTCTTATGAATGATAACCTCTGAAAGTTTTGATTTAAAAATATTTAATATGCATGCAGTAGAGAATTCTTGCTGGTTTAGTTAAAACACTTTATCATGCTTTTTTGACAGTTATTAAATACTATTTGCTTATAAGTAACAGTTGTAAGCAATAGTTGTTTGCTTATTTTCTGATAGTTTATGAAATACCATATAATGAATTTTCAAAATGCCCAAAAGTGATACCACCAAGCAGAATAGATACTGATGTGTACCAATACATATGTTTTTCTCTGGACTGCCAATTGACAACTRAGTTGCTTTCTTGCAAGACTAAAAGGGACTTTCTGATAGGAAGTGATTTTCAGCCAAGATTCGCCAGACAAATTTTCTTGTTGATTGCTCAAGATTTGTGTTTAATGGTATTTTATTTCTATCTATGACCTGATGTTTATATATGTGATTAGACAGATGCATAGGAATGTGTTACTCTTTACTCAGCACGTACACACGTATGGAGGTTTTTGCATTCTATAGTGAGACCGTATAAATATTTTCATACTTTTGCCACATAATTCTTGCCATTAAGTTGGAAGGATACAGGTTTGATAGACAAGACTGGGGCTGCTGGTGGATTCCCCATCCCTGGAAGTGTTCAGGGTCAGATTGGATGGCGTTTGGAGCAAAATGGTCTTGTGAAAGATGCCCCTGCCCATATCTTTAGATATCTTTAGAAGTTCCCTCCAGCCCGAACCATTCTGTGATTCTGTGACCTCTATCAATAGGTAATTTCCCCTGTTTTTATTTACAATCTCTGTTATTGCCAGTATTAAACTATATGTGACAAGGTAGCATCGATAAATGTGGATTCTGTTTATATATGATGTGCTTACATGAAGGATTTAGATTGTTTCTTAGACATTTTTTCTTTTTATTTTTAGAATTGCCCTGATATGCTCAGATTTAAAACTGAGTGAGGCATCTGTGTATCATGAGAAAGCTGCTGGAGAAGTATACATTACTGAATTAGAACAAGCAATGTATGTATGCTCACTACTGAGGCTGTATTTAGTTGGGACTGTTTCCCTACAGTTGATAAATGCTGTTGGGGAAGAAAATAAAAAACATGATCTYGGAACACACCTTTGGTATATTAGCTATTCCCTAAAATTCTGTGCATGTTTGGTTAATGTCTGTCCACAGAGGAGTGTATGGTGAGGATTCCTAATACGTCGTTATGAAATGCTTTTTAAAATACACTTGAATTTACATTTTCTTTCTTGTGTTTTAGGTGTAGGCAAGAGATTGCACTGCAAAAAGAAAAAACTGCCTGTATGAAGACAGAAGAAAGAAAAATTCCATTTGAAAATGCTCAGCCTAATGGTGGTAGGAATGAGAATGTCCTTACTTCAAGTGAAAAGGTTTTCATTTCCATTTCAGTATCTATACTATATTTCTCTTTGCTCTTTTATGATACTCTTGCTAGTTTGTTTTTAGATAATACTTGAGAAATACATGAACACAAAAATCATTGAAAATGCACACTACTAAATTCTGCTATCATCAGCTGAAGCTGAGCTGGGTTTGCCTGGCATATTATTTATATTGGGAAGAACAAGATTGGAATCTTTGTTCATGCAAAGTAAAGCTACTTCCCTACGAATGTATTATGGGACAAATGCAAATCAGTTAAAAAGACTGAGAAGCAAAAAAGTTACTGTATTCACTCTTGGTCTCATTTTTACTCTTCTTTCTCTTCCCATTACAGTAGTGTGTAAGTTTTGMTTCCGCTTGTACATTGTTTTAAGGGCATGCAAATATTAAATTCCTGTCTTTATTGACTCTTCTTTAGGAAGATAATTGCCTCACCAATTTTTTTAAAGCTTATGTCCCACTTTCCTCTTTATTATGGCAGTGCTGTCCAATTTTCATCATACCATTTTGCTCTCTTTGTGTCTTTTTTCCATACTTGTCCATATAACATACCTTTTTTTCTGATTACTAATCCTTCTCAAGTCACCTCTTTTAGCTCTTGTAAATAGTTTTCTTCTTTGACTTTTAGTTATTACCAAGAATCAACTTGACAGCAACTTACCTGGAGCAGTTAATCTATSACACAGTTAGTTTGAATAGTGTTTACTTACTAGTTCAATGCCTTTTGAGGATTGTAAAATCCAAATCTCATAATAAACCTGCTGTTTCTGTAATACAATGTTAAATTTTGAAGTTAGAAAATGCAGCTGAACTGGGGGATATCATAGTTAATAACAACTTKTATTTTGTCTAGTTTCGTTTCAAAATTTATGAAGGTGTAATACTTTTGGTTTTTTTCAGGGTTTTGAGTTAAATGCAGTAACAGGAAAAGGACTGAGTGCACTTTCTTTCCCTCTCTTGTGGATTGAAAAGGCTGAAGTACTAATTCAGCTAGGCTTGTATCAGCCAGCAAGACTTCTGCTTTCAGAGGCCCATGCTGCAACTCAGGTACAATAAAAACGAAATAGAAAAAGAAACACTGATAAAATGCATAGGAAGAATGTTCATTTGGATGCAGTTATTCCTCAGAATAATAATAACAATCAAAGGGCAAAGCCAAGCCTTCTTCCACCACCCCAATATTTATTGCTTCAACAATATATTGTTTCAATATATGTCATGTGTACATTTAAATATATGGCATTTCAGTCCAAATTTGTGGGAGTTTTCTGAAAATTATATACATTTTTGAAGTAGTGTCAGCATTTCTGTCTGCTTTGCAGTGGCCTTGGAAAATACAGGTGTATCTCAACCTTGTTTGTTTAAATAGGTGGGGAATGTTCCACGTTTGCTCAGAAGAGAGAAAGGGCATTTAGCTCCATCCTCTCAATATTTTGATAATTTGCAAGTCTGGTTATTTCATTTTGAACTTCATTATGGATTTACTGCTAGATTTTGATCGAACTGAAATTATGTCTTAGAATTCTGGCAGATCTGAAATAAGCGTCCACATGTTCACCAAACAGATCTGCATTGGCTTGTTATTATGAAGGGTTTAAAATTACTGATATTTTCCCTATATCTACCGTTTTTGACTATAGCCCTGTGCTTCATAATACAAATTATTGCAATATAATTATTGCAGTAAATCCTTTAGTTTAAAAATAATGTAATTATTATCCTGCTATTTTGTGTAATAWTTTTTCCTATGTAAGTAAAAGCTGCCTATGTAAATTCAGTATRATCATGAATACTTTGAGTAATAATATATGAATGATATTCATTAATAATACATGCCTCTTTTAAAAGCATTATTTAAGCATTATATATTAAGGAAAGTTCAAAATACATTAGGGAGGGCAGTATTTTTAATAATATAAGTGGTTATTTGTATCCTACATGTCTGTATGCTAGTATACAAATGTTATACAATATTTGTCCCTTTACAGTGTTAGTTATATAGCTTATAACTGGTATAAAGCAGCATTGTGAGCTCACTGGATCTCTAGCGTATCTGTACACCAGTTAAAAAAAAAAAATCTTCCATCAGCACATTTCTTCATCAGATGCTGACAAACACTAGCAGATATATATASATACTTCATAATAGCAGAAAAATAGCTTATTCCACTTGTGAGATGGAGGGTACCGGAAGGTAAAGAAATGTGCAGCAGACCTATACAAGGAGTAATGAAGAAATTGAGCAGATAGTTGTAGGAATATAGTTTGCTTTTTATTTCTGTGAGGCTAATCTGGAATATGGACATAAATATGAATAGCACTAGAGGATTTTTGGTATATAGATCACATGTCTTTGTTTGTAGGAACTGAGGGCCCTCTCTGATATGTCAAGGTGCTTGTACTTACTTGCTGTGTTGGCTAACCTGGAAAGAAACCACAGACAAGCCAAAGCACTCCTGGAGAAAGCACAGCTTCTGGGAGGAAATGAGCAGTTTTGGTATGACAGTACTCTCAGTCTAATAGAAGCAATTCTAGAGGAAGAGGGGGAAGGAAAACAGAACATGGTAAGGAAGTTTTTTGGGCTTGGAGGTTGTGGTTTGGGATCTCTTTCAGCAGTGATCTCTCTCAGTGARATATTATGGCCTTTGCATTTTCAGTAAAAGCAAAATTGTGCGTTAAATGCRGTTAATGTTGTTTTCTCTACGCATTCAACAAACACTAGATTCCAGACAGATGCAGGCCAGTAGGAATGAGATTTTACCCACAGATGCTTAGGATGTTTTTATGATCAGCTTATTCTTCTATTGGAATAAAACCAGTTATAATCTCATATGCATGACTACATCCCAGAGATGTGATTCTCTTCATTAGAATGCTTTTGTATTCAGACAGTCCTGTTAACACTGGTATGTTTGTTTTTCATATTCAATGAATATCATGCCTTTCAGTATTATTTTCTAGTATGCTTTTCCTTCTCAAGTATTTCAAGTAGTTTTACAAATATAGTTTATAGGTTCTGGGAGATATTACTGTAACACTTTTTAAAAAAAACTAAAAACCTGTGACATCAAACTATCCGCTTACTATCAAACCCTTACCTTTCATGAGTTTCAGCATAAATATAGTCTTATGTCTTATGTCCATCTAACCTGTATTGATAAACTGTGCAAGTCTGTTTTGTGCAGAGGGATTATTTTGATTTTGACTGAACTCTTATTTGCCATCTTTTGCTATGTACCTCCAAGATGCATGTGGCTCCGTCCTCTCTCCTTGTATGTATGTGTGACATTCACATTAGCATCAAAACATCTAAGTATGATCATAACTCCAGTTTTCTAGACTTATTTACAGTTATCAAGAGCCAGCCATCTTGGGAATAATAAACATGTTGTGTATAGAATTGGAGCTTTCTAAATGAATGTTTAATATTATCCATAGACATTTAAAATAGAATTATGAAAATTCTTGCTTTACCTGCAGGCTTGTGAGATACTGGAACGTACTGTAAATGTGCTTCGATCTGCTTTACTGAAGAGACCTGGCAGGCAGTCGGAATTGGGTTTTATGATTGCATCCCTTGAAGCCAGGTGACCGTCTTTTGTCTAAAATATGCCCAGCTTCTAATATGCAGCTACATTACAAATAGATGTAATTTTCGCAGCGCTTTCTTATTTTAGCATGGTAAATTCTGTYGATTCTCAAATGTTTTTGTGCTAAGTCATTAATACAGTGGTGTTTTCTTTTTGAAATTTAGATTTCCTTCCATATTTCTATATTTCCTTCTCAAATTCTTGTTTGCAGCCTTACTAGCTGTTGACTTGGCAAACTAGATACCACAACGTATTGAGCGTAGTTTGCAATGTAGATTACCTAAAGGTGCAACATATATTTGCCTATGCAGAGGGATCCATCTGTGCCCTCCCACAGCACTGTGGCAGTCTACAATATTACCTGCTTCTGTTCTCACCATGCACTAAGAAGCCTGTTTGTTGTGGAACTACACACTGAAATCCGAGCACACAGACCTTAAAATGTGTTGSTAAGGGGAGGGAAGTATACAACATTTACGTTCCTGTCTCTTTCTGTAAAGGGGAAGCTTTCCAATAGAAAAGGAACACTAGTACCAGTCTTCTCAGTTCATCTGTATTTAGAAGACCGATTAGGCCTAGACAGATAATTAGATAATGGAACAACAAATAATAATTAGATACATGGAACAAGTGATGCCTCATCTCTAATCTCAAAATATAATATTCAGATTTTTCAGAACTACTATAATTTATGAAACACACATTTATGATGTTTTTTTCCGATTTCTTAGAATTTGAAGGAAAGCAGAGAGAAATGTGTGGGTTCTGAAAAATAGCCTGTGCTTTTTGACTGCTATCTCATATTTAATTTTTATTTCTAGAAAAACACTTATTCAGATACATTTTGCCCAGGATCATATGACAGTTAATCCCAAAGCTGTTCAGTTACCACACATACTACAGGAATCCTACAATAAATTAGYTCAAGTTGAGAAGGAGTTTTTTTATTATGGGCATAAAAACTGCAGTGCTGAAATACTGCTGGAATGTGCAAATATTCGTAGGTAAGACTATACTTCTATAACTCTATTGAAAAATTTTAATTAAGTTGAACTAGTCCATGAAGTGTATTGATGACATTTAAAAGTCTTTTTAAAGATRGAAAAGAGCAGATGGCATTGTTAGCTTTTATATATATATTGCTGTTACAAATCTGTTTGCGTTCATGCGTTTTGTATTCAAAAAAGAGCTCTAGAATTAAAAATTGTTTTCACTCAAGGCAGAGTTCTCTTTTGTTCTTTTTTGAGGTCAAAACAAAGTGTGAAGATCTCTTAAGTCAGCGTTTTGACCTCTCATTTGTAAAGGCATTTTAGCAGCTGAACCAGTCATTCTCAAGTATTTACAGGCCTTTACAATTCTTACCGTTGAAACATTTCTCTAGTAACTGCTGCAAGAGTAAAATTGGAAAGCATGGTATGCTTGGAATCCTAGCGTTTGCACGATGCCCCCTTAAACCAACTGAGATATGTTTTGTACCTGGTATACTGCCATTTTGTTCCTAGTAAATAAATACTCTAGAATATTACCTGCCTTTCTTCTCTTTGAGTCTTGGCATCTTCTTGCATTGCAGCWGTACAGTTCTAAGAATAAGACCTTGGAAAAATAACTTGTAAGCATTCACTTGTCCTATCTGTGCATTTYAAAAACACATGCAAAGTTATTCTTTTTTATTGGTAATTAATCTATTTGATGTATTAATTGATTATTTTATTATGTATGTTTAACAGTATTGATACCATAAAAATGAGCATTTTTTGTGCTAGTTCTTATGAGTTTATGGTGTTGGTTTGGGTTTTTTTCAGGACCATTGCCAAGCAGGAAAGGAACAAAAAAGACAAACATAGTCACTATCTAGACGCTTATAACTTAGCTCAGAGAGCAGTATCCAAAACAGAGGAAGTATTTCATAATGTTTGTAGTTTATTTGCATTTCATGAGGTATGGACTTCTGTATTCCTTAACTGTGGAAAGGAAATCTAGTTTAGTTGTAATATTCACTCATTTTTTGATAATCTCATTGGGGGCTTCCAGGAATTATCTGCTTGTAATGATAAGCATTCTTTGTATATAGAAAGAAATATTGCATACCAAAAGAATTTACAGTTGAAAAAAGGGATGAAGACAGGATTTTTTTGGTCTTTGTCAAGTTTATTTAATTCTGACATATATCTAATAGCTACAGAAGAAGAAAGTATGCACTTGGAGATACTTTTGATTCTCAACCTSAAAAGTTTAAAATTCTTCAAAATGTGTTTCTTCTCAGGAGAAACAAAAARTCTTCAAAGAACGTTATTATAAATAAAGAATGTCTATTCTTGATAAATAATGAATGTCTGACACTGTCTGTGTCAGTGTGTTTTGGTTAAAGAGAGCCTGCAGTTGACTTTGCTAGGGGATATGTACCGTTATTAGATATTACATATTTATACCTGGTCCATAAAAGCAAAAACCCAGCCACTCTGGTTCTGTGGAGCTACTTTGATTGCCTTGTAATATATCTGACATTGGAGTTTGTCTTTTAAATTACTTACATATCTTCATTGCAATATTTCTGCTCTGTCGAGATGATAATGCTAAAGTGCTTCTTTGGTTAAAAAAAATACAACCTTCTAACTTCTTATCAGATAAATTTGAAAAAATACTTGAACTTAGAATTCTACRTGCTTTTGTATTTCAGAGTACAAATATTAGTATTCCATTAATGAGACAACTAGCTAAYAGGAAAATAAATCTTGTAGAAATTCTTTTGGATATTTGTCATCTTGTCATTACTGAGAAAAAGCTTAAAAATGTGGGAGAAGCATCATTTCATGAATTTGTGGAGGAGTTCATCATTGAAGGTGATGCAACGGAACAGGTAATACAAAATATTTAGTTCTRTGATAAAAGGTATAACAAACTTTTCCATAGTGCAACTTCTTCYGCTACTGAGGAAATGGGTCCTCAGACCAGTCACAGAGTTTTGTAGTAAAAGAGGTTGAAGTGCATGGTTTTAGTTCTGGAGATGGTTTACTGGGCACCCTCCCCTTATTCCATGATTTTCTTGGCACTGGTTGAACATTGTTATGGATATTACATTGAACTATTTTTGTCCTTCATCAGTTGTTAATGAAATTGTGGATCTATTAAAGATGGCTCATTTGTAGTCGAAAGTATAATYACATTTAACATAAGTATTTATATGTGAATATATATATGTGTTACATTTTAAAAAACTTCCTGTTTATGTCTGTGTGGGKATATGTGAGCAAATAAACATTAATATGTATTTTACCAGGATTGGAAGTATATGAAACGCACCGTGGCTCATATTACACTGGCTCAGTTAGCAAGCATACAGAATCTTTGTAAAGGCTGTCCCAACATCAAATCCAAATGCCTGTATCTAACTGGAAAAACTCTTCATTTACTTGCCATTAATGCAGATCCTGTATATTCAGAGATTTACTGGAAGCCAAATGTTATGGTAYGCATGCTTTTCTGCAGTTATATTAATTTTTCTGTGTAAAATTTTTCTGCTCTACTATTTTTTCTAGATGCATTTGTACAAAAGCTGCTCTTTATGTAAAGCTAGGTTTTGTATASTGCATGCAATCCATAATAAAAATGGATACCGAACTTACTAATTTCAAAAACATGGTTCTGCCTACATGCCATCCTCACATAGATAATTTTTGATTTGTTTGCAAGATATGCTAATTACATTATTTTCTAAAGAGAGGTTAAAAAATTCCTTGAATGCCTTAAAGGGCTAGCAAGGCATGGTCTCTGAATCCATGCGATCAAGAAGTATTGACTTGTAGGTTAAAAGCTTGGATTTTTAAGTGTCTTTTGTGTTGTAGTAAGAACCCTACATAAGAAAAGGAGAGTTGGTGGAGGCATTATAAATTCAGTGACAAATTAAAGTGTTCAGAAGGAATAAGCAGAGGACAAATATGAGAAAGTCCAACTCTTGGAGGTTGTGCTGAGGGTCTTTTTAGTTTGTTTTGGTCATACTGCCTTCATAACATACAAAGAAATGTTGGTGGTTGATAATATTACTAAATCTCTCACCATGTAGGAGTTAAGGTAGTGATTTCTGTTAAGATTAATTCCATTTTTGCATAGACTTTCACAAAAGAAATGAAGCCTGCCTTACTTAATGGATGATTAATTGTTTTTTTTTATATACTGTGATGGGTAGGAAGAAGCTAAATCAGACATCAGAAAATCTTCACTGGCGTCAGCAGAATGCAGTGAACAAGACATGACAGACAGTGGTTTATCAACTAATAAATGTCATAATGAGAAGTATAGGAGGAAAAGTCAGGAATTAAAGGTATATTAGTTTATAAGCTTGCGTTAGAATTTGAGTGTTTTCTTTTTATAAAATAATAGTAATCTTACCTTATYAGTTCTGTTTAAAGTGATAATGGAAATGTTTGTAACACAAACTATATCTTTCAAAAGGAAAAGATCTACAAAACACCTTCCAAGAAACAGCTTCCCATCACTCTCTGCTGTGTATCTCTSTCCTACTCGTGAACAGACTGTGGGGGAGCTCCTGAATGAGCTCATACTGTTCCTCCCAGAAAGAAATCATTTCTCCTTCTYGCTGATGGAGCATGTAGCACCTGGACTAGAGGAGCAGGCAGTTTCTTTCTGCCTCACAGATATGAGTTTCTAAGGGAACATAACTTTTTGCAGACTGGGAACAAAGAAAGAAATTACTTATATCACAAAATATTTGTAAAATTCGGAGATCTGATCTCTGTTAACTACTGCAGCTGAAAGCACATTAGGCATTGGGAGTGTAGAGTTTGTATTGCTAGTAAAATCAATAAATACCCGAGGTAAGAGGTTTGTGGGCTAATTTGCACTAAATATAGTTAGCTGTTCGCAGAAACAATTGTATTGATCATTGTTTCTGAACCGGTCATATTGCCTGCAATTTAAAGCCTGTTCTGCTAGGTATACRTTTTATATTTTAAAAAATTACTGTGTTAAACCAATTATTTTTGAAAGTTGTATAACAGATGTTGGTGTCTGCTAAAAAATTAATCAGTATTTTCATGTTTTGATCATACATTAAGTGCCTTAAAAAGAAAATGCATTAAAATTATTCACATAAAAGCAATATTTATCTTCTACGACATTCTGTAATTGTCGAACATATAACAAATACTTAATATCAGCAAATTTTAATATAAACCTTTTTATTTCTAACACCTAGACAGAATATAGGATGGCTCAGAAATATCTTTGTCAATCCAGTGAGGCCTTGCTGCAGTCTATGGCTATTGCATTCAGTCACAGCGTTACTGATGTACTGGCTCCTGCTAGTTTGGAAATGGCTGAATGCTTTCGACAATTTGATCCAATTTCAACTAGCCAGTTTTTGGCACTTCATCAGGTAAGGCAACCTTACTGCTTTGCAGTGCTGCTTTTCAATGTGAGGATGTTTGAAGATGTGTAAGCTAAACTGTATTTGCAGAGCCTGAAAATAGGTCATACAGAACACATGTAGGGTTCCATGTAARAACTAGTATGTAATACAGGTCATCAAATATATGATACATTAGCTAAGTTCAGAAGATGTAATGAGTGATTTTTTAAAAGTTCTACTATCTGTTGTCTTTGACCTGACATTTTCATTGATGATTGCATACATGAAAAAAATTTARTAGGAATAAATTACTATCTTGTAATTGGCAAAGATAAGACATTGCCACAAAGTACAGTTTCATTGCTCGCAAAAAAAAATTCTAAAAATATTTCTCTGGATTGTTAATTTTTGATTTTGAAATAGATAATTCAGTTTACATTCAGTTTGTCAGACTGATACCCACACAGCATGGTCCCATCGATGGCTTGAAGGTGTATGCATCATTCATGTGAATAATGTGCCTTCATCAAAGAGAAGATGCAGAATGGCTGTAGGGCTTGTATTCTCTGGAACAAATAACYCATACTTCCTACACCAAATAACCCATACTTCCTACACCAGCATCTCTGTTAGAGAAATAACAAAAGCACCTTATACTACTTTCCTTTCTGCCGTGTCAATGCAACTGAAGGAAGTTACAACAAGCAGAAAGCACCTGAATCTCTGTCAACACTTAAATTTGCAAATATCTCCACCCATGAGTAGAATGGACTAGCTAGGTCTTCTGCTATATTAGAATCAGCTAATACTGGATTTGGTGGTTCAGTTGTTTATCCCTGTACTCTTGCAGCACACCCTATTATTTATGCTGGGTGTTTTACGTGTTAGTGAACAATCTACTAGAATGTATACCAAGGCACAAAAACCATGAGCTGTCATGTCTTTTACTTGGCAAAAAATTCTGCCAATTCAGTTACTAGTGCCCAGAAATGTTTGTGTTAAGGCTCCCTTAGGAATTTTTGATTAGGTCAACCTGAATTGCCGTTCTTTTTTTTTGATATGACAACTGCATTAAAATAAAAAGAGATAGTTTAGCTCTTAGCTAGCGTAGATTCAAACGACAGAGTTAGTATGTTTGCTGAAAGAAAAGTTCATCTAGTCTTACCCATTATTTTGCTCTTTGTAGAAATCTATTGTGTGATGTGATGGCTGCCAATTAAAGCACAGAAACACAGGGAAGATTCAGCCAACTTGAAAGGCTGAGCTAAGAGCACAGTATTTACCATTCCAAATAGACCTTAGATGACTGAATGCAGAAACCTTGATGATACATGTAGACAAAGAAATCAATTCCAGCTATTTGTGTTCAGGAAATCTTTCTAAGTTATTGTCAGACTGTTTACATTGACCTGCACAAATAAACAGCAGTCTTTTGCTACTTCATCTCACCTTTCAAGCAAGAGAATTCTTTTTCAACGTAGATAAATATTATAGCAAACATAGTGTATATATTTGCTTGTTTTATTTTTGTGAAGGAAAATAAATAGATATAAAAATTTTACAGAGTTGTTCAGCATCTATGATGATGAAGAGTATCCTTCTAACCGCWACATCCAACACCAGCAGCTCTCAGATGGCAGCATTGCTGCATCTTCAGAATCATTTAAAACAGAACAGGAGCACAAGTGATCTTCTAAAATGTGTGGAGCAGCAACTGTCTGCTATTTCAGTGGTAACTCTCTGAGCTACTTCATAGGGGTTTATATATGTTATAAAAATGCACACAGACAGACATACGTGTGTATCCAGGACCTTGGTTGGTTGTGGGTTGGCAGTGCAGAGAGAATGGTTGGACTCAATGACCTTCAACAGCTTTTCCAATCAGAACATTCTGAGATTCTGTGAGCCAACCCTGTGCCTTCCTCTTTTACCAAGAGCTTGCCACACAAAACAAACACAATTTTAAATAGTAGTTGTTGATGAAGTGTCTCTAGCAAAATTGTGAAGGACTTTTTGAAAATATAAATGTTACTATGAATTACTCAACTCACGTCYTTTGCTAATACTCTACGAGTATTTGATAGCATTTTAACTTCAGAAATAGTGTAGGGGCCTTAAAAGTCATATTGTTATGAAGAGGGGACTAATCTACAGAATTAGTAATTTGTTTTAATTAATATTTATACGTTCTTCTGCTCTGCACTGCATAAAAATTACATGATCATAGAATGGTTGAGGTTAGACAAAATCTCTGGAGGTCATCTTGTAAAATCCGCCTGCTCGAGTAAGGCCACCAAGAGCTCATTGTCTACAGCCATGACCAGATGGCTTCTGAACATCTGCAAGAGTGGAGGCTGCACAGACACTCCGTGCCAGTGCTCACTGCCCTCACAGGGAAGCAGAGTTTGCTGCTGTTTGGACAGAGCCTGCTCTCCTGGCCCATCTGCTGAGTGTTTGGGCCCTTTAGTATGTTCTTTCCTAGAATTACTATCAGTTTTCTAATGAAAGAACTGAGAATCGGTTTATAAAGTCTAAGAAAATAATACTACTTTTGAACTATTGTACAGGCATGGAGAAACCTCTGTATTCCTGTTGAACATTTTAATATAGTGGATGAATTGCCATCTAGTTTCTACATAGTTGTTCTACAGCATTCAGAAGACAGGTATGAAATGCCATCATTTTGGTTTAGCATTTTTTGTTACAAATGCCATCTTTTTTTACCGGATTGTTTATTGTCTTTCACTTCTAATTTTGCTGGACTTGACTTTTAGGATAGTGAACTATTCAATATATAAATCAAACTGCCTGAAACTCAGTTGTGTGCTTTCTGTTCTTTTAATTTCCCTAATTATCTCCAGCGGTCGCTTGAAAGGTTTCAGGCCATTCTTGATAACCTTCCCAAGTTCTGTTAAGAGTTTCCCGCTCTTATTGCTTATGCTCTTGGAAATGTTAGGAGGGGTCATATTTTGCTTTATAAAGCCAACAATTATCTGATTATTGCAGCCTAATTAGCTGCAATAAATTAGCTCATAAATTGAGCTATAGAAACTGACTATGAGTTCATTCACCAATTTAAAAAGTCTTGAACATTTGTCTTGGAGCAAATAGAAATCTACCTTATTGGTTACACAGTAATTAAAGAATTTATATCTCTCAGTTTGTTCCAGCTAGAGTTTGTGGGTTTTTGCACCCAAGGTGGGGGTAGTTACTGCATCCTGAGAGTATTTGTAAGCACATTAAATTAGAGGGTAATAATTACTCACTAATAAGTTTGAGTCATATAAACAAGGCTAGACAGTCAAATAAACTATTCAGCATTATTCTGCTTTCCACAGATCACATTTGTACAGTTCTTTGATTGAGATACCCAAAGTAAGTGYGGCACAGCAAAAAGGAAAACTCACTCAACGGATGGGTAAGTACCTCTCACATTTAAGAGAGAAAAATCATTGCACTGRTATTGTGAGAAGAGTCATATCCTTCACTGTTGCAGTTAGTAAAGTTTTAAAATACTTTCTCAAGTAATTGTAGCTCTTTTTAATTGCCAAGTAAAATAAATTATTAAATGTTTCATTACCAGATGTAATGTATCTAGTCAGTATTTATATAATTTTTGTTTATATTTGAAGTTTTTATAGATAAACAATCATAGAGATTTTTTTCATTGTACATTTCTGTATATATTTTGTGTTTGATTATATATATAATCAAACTGATGGTATTTGTACAATAATTTCTTCAAGTAAAAATATGTCTCATTTATACCTCTTAAGAGGGTATTATCCTCCTTTTAATAGTGCAGGCAAAAGTTTCTCGATTTCCTGTGAATCCTGATGCTTTTTGTATTTTGTTGGAAAAAATGCGACTTTTCAAGCTGCAAAAGATGAAGAGTCATCTTAAACAAACTGTCAATCAGAACTTGCAAGACTCTGTCTCCAAAAAAGAGGTGGTAATATATTTTATTACCTTATATTTAAAACTATATATGGGTCAAAAATATGTACTAAAAAGATGATAGACATTCTTTATGCAGAWTTTTTCAGTTTATTCAAGAGTATTACTCTTCACACTTACTAAATGCTGTGTACTCTGCTTCAAAATTTAATCTTACTATTGTGCTATTGTTCCTGTATTTGTCATTCAGAAGCTTTGAAATCTTCAGTAGTTTATCAGAATTGAAAATTGATGCAGTTGAGATCAGTTTACTTGAAAGTGTGCCATATTCCTGACATTTGCATTTGCAAATGTACACTGCCTTTCTTACCACGTGAAAGTCCCTGCTGTTCCAAGGAAAAACCAGGATCATAAATTGTAACCCTTTAACGTAAATCAAACTAACTTAGCCAGAGATTTATTACTGGTTTCCAACACAGAAATGTTTTGTGCTAGGGCACACAATATCTTTTGCACTGTAGCTCTTTATTTGGATGCAGTTGATCCAAGTCTGTTGGTCACATAATTTTGCTTCAAGGACACATTTGTTGGAGTCTACTTTTGTAGAACAGTCTTAAATTCTAGATGATAAAAGTTTTCTGCAACTGCAGGAAGGCTGAGTTCTATAAGGACGTTGTCACAGTGAGCACAAGTTGTGTAACTTAAAGATATTAGAAAAACTTGTGACTTTTACACTTCTAATCTGCAAGGTGACAGAAAATTTTCTACATATGAAAYGTACAAGTCCTAGTATTTTAATTTGGGCCTCACTGGATAAAACCTGTTTTTTCAAAGAAAATTCACTGTTAAATATAACATTAACAAAAGTAGTAAAGGCCTATTTCCATTATTCATATAAAGGTAAAAATRCAGATCATATTGAATTTTCATACTGAGTTTTCATTGTTTCAATCACACTAACTTGGCTGTATCAGTTTAAGACAATTTTAAGTGGTGGACACTCTAAAATGAATTATCTTCCCTTGTGTTAAGATTGTGTCAGGTTGAACAGATGGAAAATACAAGTGACGTCTGTTTTTAAAATGCACATGCATTACAACTGCCAGAAGGGATGCATGCAGCCACTGCCGAGCCACACAAGCCTTGGATAAGACATTTCATTAGTACCAACATTCTTCACCATTTAATTGAACTCGTTTSTCCAGTTAGTGGTTTTGTGTCACTCTGTGTTGGATTTTACAAGCTTCAGTTTTCAGTATTTTTCTCTCCTACATGAYTCTATTTTCTCCTTATCTATTCTCTTCATTCTGTTCATTTTCTTTTGCTAAATTGATGATCTCTGCATATACTTTTATTTGCTTCTTCTATGTTTATCATGCAGTTTCCGTTCACTTCTCAAAGTTGTCCTTACACAATTTCTTCTCATCATTTGGAGGAACRCATTATAATTTCTTTCTGCTGTTCTTTTCTGTCGTTCCCCATGAAATTGCTGAAGTATATTAATTATTTAAATAATAAGTGTTGACACCTTCTACTGATTCTTGTGTTAGAATGTTTTTCAAAATGCTGGTMTGAAATTTTGAAATAAAGTAGTTTTGAAACTGACTTCTTACATTTATATTTTCCATTTTATAATCTTTCACATTATTTTATTTAGTCTCTGATTTAATGTAATATAAAATATATACATGTAACGGTATTTAACAAGGATGGAGAGTGAAAGTATTCTAATTTCTGTTTCTATGTGTGATAGACTCCAACAGAGAAAACAGATGATAGTGAGCTTGATTTGACATCAGATTTCTCTGAAATAATACAAATTATGGAAGACTATCTGAAACCATCACTGTCACACTTTGATTTTCCTGCTCTCACGTAAGATATGTTGACTTTGATTATCATTTGTAAAAACAGAACTGTGACTCAAGTCCCTCAAATAAAGGAATGGTTTTAGCAAGGATGGGCTGTTGAATGAATGTTTTACATCTTGAAAGAGAGTGTGTTCAGGGTATGTCCGASTGAGAGACTGAGTGGTATCATAGGCTAATGGCCATTTCTGACAAGCACTGTTCTCCAGCTTAAGTTATTCTTAAGATGAAACTCAAGATGCAGTATGATAATTAAACTGTTTAAAGATGGGATTTCCAAAGGACAGGATCTCCAAAGGGAGCATGTCCTTGGTGGAAAGTGTCAGTGAAATTTAAGCAGTTTTGTCTTTGTGTTTCCTGTGAAAACTTTTASCTACACAAGTATTAGTGCTGGTAATATTTTCACTGAAATTCCTCTTGCCAGAGAATCCCGGTGCGTATCGGTTTCAACAGCTGAAATGGGAAAAAGGAAAGTGAAAGATAAGGACACCAAACAATCTGTAAGGCAGGGTATGTGCTTTCTTGAGTATAATGTGTCTGTGTGTGTGTGTATCTTTATTGACAGATACCAAAATCCAGTAATTTTTAATTTTAATTTTAATTTTAATTTTATTTAAAACAGAGAGAGGATAATTTTTGTTTTTGTCTGTTTTATTTTCTATATCAAGTCAAATATTTCTGTATACTTTCAAAGATAAATTTAGATGCTGGATGGAGCTATGCTTCTGCATTTATTTAGGGTCTTCTGAACCATACAGTCTGTAGACAACTAAATGAAATGGCTTTATCACAAACTGGTTTTTCAGGAGAAAAGCTAGAATAAAGAACATTCTTAAGCCTGTAGATCTCTTTGTTTTGTCGTTTGTTTTTGTTTTTGTTTTTGTTTYGTTTTGTTTTTAACTTTATGGACTCTCACAGGTTGTTAGGTTGAATGCAAACCTAATACTATAATATGTCCCTAAACACATCTCAAGAGTCGTTCTGAAAAAACTGGAAGAATTGGTTTCCATGCGTTTGCTTTTTCTCTGTAGAACAGAGCTGTGCGATGATAATATTTACTACTTTTTTCCAAAATGACAGAATCAAAAATTTTCTACAGAACAGCACAGTATTGGATAAGATTTCCTTTACAATGCTATGCTGTTTGGCCAGTCACTGCTCTGGCAATTTTACATTTCCAAACGTTTCCTGAATCTACTGCATACACCTGGACTCGGACCTGAGATGGTTGGTTATTAAAACAGGGATATTTTTCCCTCTGAAGAATTGGTGCTAACAAGGGCATAGAAACTTGAGAACATCTTAAGAGTAGTGGTATCAAAAGAAATGTTTTTGCTTAATGCGCTTAATTCACAGTACACTGAAGTTCATGTGTCATACAATAGAGTAAACTTAGGTTTTTACATCTAACTTCAATTATTTTTATACAAACTGAGAACTAAATCTCCATCATGTTCTCTCATGATTCTTTAGATACACCTRTGGATTTAGGGTTGTCTGTGGTGTTACTAGGGGATACATTGTTTATGGAATTGCCTTTGGAAGCTCTGAGTATATTTCAAGAGGAAGGAATAAGTTCTGTTTCCAGAGATTTTTCTCTACAGATTCTCTACAATCGACTACATTGGACTGAGTCAGGTACTATTAGATAAACATTCTTTCCTTTAGCATGATGAGATACTTAAAAATTTAAATATGAATGGTGATGTATATTTTGCTGGAAGATAGCCACGTGGAATAGCTTTCTAGTCTTTTAGGTGAAGTAAACAGTGCAGTAGACTTATTTCAGTAATGTACAGGCCGATTATAGGTGCAGTGCTACCTAATTTAAAACAAACTCCACACATTGAAGAATTATATACAACAGTGGAATTAAAATTACAAGCATGTTGTTTAAACTTTGAAACTATTTTCAGCTGCAGTGAAAAAAGGAAGTAAGATTTTAACACTTCTGTTATACCTTACGTAAACTCTTCAGCCAAATGAGGTTAAGTAACATAGTTGGACAGTTGGTAAATTTGTCCTTATGGCATCTTAAAACTCATTTCTTAGATCTAGAAGTGACTAATAAATGCAGGCACTAGGCAATTTTTGTATGAAGATAACTTCTATTAATAAAGTTAAAAATTKGAAGCTGCATTTTTCTCATAGAGAAAACCACATGAAATTACTAAAACTAGTTGGTCCAACATAAAAAAAAAAATAGACCAAGTGCAGAAAATTTCACTCTGTACCATGTAAGTATGATGTTCCAGACAGGTTCTTGTATTGTGTCCATATCTGTAATATTTAGTAATACTTAGCCTCCAGTATAACCTGTTCTCATAACCTCTTCTCTGTTTTCCATTTCACCCCTTGTTTCTAAAGGGAAGGAGTTGTATGTAATCTGAGGTTTCGGTTAACATACTCTTACAGGTCTTTGAGAAATACAACTTCTAGAACATGTAGGGTTTTTTCTATTTCTGTTTTTCCCTTTCTCAGAGTGGAACTTCTTATGGTTGCATAATTTTAGAAGTGGATAAATGAGAGGAAGAGTTGAAAACTATGAAACATAGTCTCTGTTCTTTCAATTATGACAGTGCCCCCTGAATAAGGGAACATAAGCAATGTGGTGTTAATGTGTGTCTCAAGCTTCCACGAAGCCTCGGGGCACTCAGTGATAACTGCCTGAGACATGTACTCTGGTGACAGTCACATAGACAGTGAGAAACATAAGACAGCTTTCTGTGCTTAGAAAAATTCCCTTAAAGAAATAAAAAWTCCAATTCAAATGTGAAACTTCCTTTTTCCTTTAGATCTCTCTGTGTCCCACTGAAACTTCAGCGATTCCATTAGCATCAACAATTAATAGATATGGTATATGACTTAGAAAGGACTTTGATGATCACTGTTCAACTCTGTCCAAAATTGGTAGTCTAATAAAGCGTTTTCATGTGTAAGGGATCCTCCTTGTTTTCCTCTTTAAAGCCTTTATTTTCAGGCAAGAAGATTAGGGGAATGTGCTTACTTTGCTGTGTTTTGAAATGAATTTTTATTTTTCTACTTCAGTCTGTTGTTGCTGTTGTTCTTACTACTACTGCTGCTGCTGCTGCTGCTGCTGCATCATACTAAATATATAGAGTCCTTCAAGGACATTTATTTGCTGAAACTGCCTATATACTAAAATTTTTTTTCTTTTCATTTTTGCAGAAACTGAACTTAAAACAAATGTTGAAATATCTAAAGAAACAAAACCAAAATCTCATCAGAAAAGGAATGTCCGAATGGTGAATTTTCCGCCTTTTTTGTAAATAACGAGAGAACTTGCATAGAGAACGGTTAAAGTGGGTTGCATAGAAGCTCATTATGTGTACTAGAATTCGGAAGTGGAATAAATGTCACATTAGTCCATAAGAATCTTGCTTCCTGTTGATTTTGCAAGGAGTTTTTCTTTGAAAAACACTTTGTAAATGGGACATATTTAATAATCCACCAAGGGAGCTACTTAAAGTTAATGAAAATACTTTCTGCAATAATATATTAGTTTTTATATAGTGCATACATATATTTTTATAAATCTTTATCTGTATCCATTTACATCTGTATCTATATATGTGCACGTATGTGTGTATATATGTATATTCATGTAGATAATGCAGAATAATGTATTAATTTCCATTGAAAATTGAATATCATGATGCTGTTAAACCCACATTCAGTAGTTAATTGTGTGACATGTGTTTGTGTTAGCTGACACAAAGAATGTGATACTGTTAGTATTGGACTGAAACTTTAACATGTAAGTGGATATGTATTCTTTTTAATTGTAGGCATCCGTTATCCGTGATCCAGGTTGCTTGTCTGTTGATACACGTAATTTTAAATGTATCCTTTCACAACTTATTAGCTAAGTGTTTCGGCTAAATTTCCTTCTTTTGTTGTTTAGATAGCACTGTTTGTAATTAACTGTTTATCAGATATTGTGGACCCCTATAATGAAGGACGAGAAGCAGGTAATAGAGATTGTAAATAAAATATTATTAAATCTACCCCTAGAATTTAAATTTTTTGTAGCAAAAAATGAAGTCACAACATCAAGATGTTGGGGGAAAAATGGTATGTATTTTCATCAGAACAGCACAGCTTATCACCTGTAAATGGTGCATTGGYGAAACAGTGTAAGAGTTGATGGAGGTTTTAGTGAAATCACAGAATGGCAGACTGGTTTGGGTTGAAGTGATGTATAAGCTCATCTCATTCCACCCCCTGCCACAAGCTGGGACACTTAAAAATGGACCAGGGGTTGCTCCAAGCTCATCCAGCCTGGCCTTGGACATTTCCAGGGATCCAAGGGCAGCCACAGCTTCTCTGGGCACCCTGTGCCAGGGGCTCATCACCCTTCGAGGGAAGAATATCTTTCTGATATCTGATATTTTAGCTGACCTAAACCAGCTGTGTTTCCATGTGAAGAAGCCATTTGCCCCTGTCCTGTCGCTGTGTGCTCTTGTAAATTGTCTCTGTCCATCAGTCTTGTTGGCTCCCTTCAGGTGTTGAAATAATTGTTAAGTCTAAACACAATGCAAAAGAAGCTACAGAACAACCTGGTGTAGCAGAGTATGTCTCCATGTGTTTACAGTTCTCCACAGCAAATCAGTGTAAAACACTTCATGTTCTCAGGATCTGGCTCTAGAGTGTATCTTTTAATTTATACCAGTATGAAAATGTAGTCAAAAGGAGAAAATAATGTACCATTAAACATGCAATGTCCTTGGAGAGCAGAGGTGGGTTTGGAGTCTTGTTYTCTGAAATCAGGACTCTGGAAATGCAGTTTATCCACCTACTTATGTCTTCTCTAAGCCTCTGGAACAGAACTGTATCAGCAGTACTGGTTTTCAATTCCTTACCTTTTTTTCAGGGTATCTAAAATTTTTTCTTCATACTTTTAAAGTCTTTAACCTGTCTACCAAATAATCCTTTTTCATTATAAAAGATGCCTTTCAAATGGGAATCCCAGTTTTGCTCTGAAAAGGTCACAATTGCATTCATTTTAAAAGCCAGACCTAGATTTCACAAAATATGAAATCCTGTGATAACCTAAACCACCCTAAATATGATAGTGTCATTTAAAAATTATTGATTTTGAGATTACCCAGTGTAGTTTGTAGCACGTTACATTCATAATGATGAAATTCTGTTGTTACAGAAGCTTCAAGTCCTTCCCAAAAAATAAAGGAAATACTAGAAAAATACCATGACCTATTCACACTGCAGGGGGAAGGTGTCATTGGCAATATGTGTGTTCCAAGGTGTGTAATATTCTCCRCTTTCTTGTTTTATCCATGTTTCTTGTTTAAAATTGTGCATATTTTCAGAGATCTTGGTTATGMAATAGAGTCGCATTTTGCTGAGCTGATAAACATATATAGCATATATAGCAAACCATTATTGGTTTGTAGATCGAGTGTTTTAGGGATCTGAAACAGAGTGCCCCAAAGTGACTTAGCCAGGGTGGTTTTGTATGAGTTGCTGTATATGTAAATAATCTCATTTTGATAGAAAGTCTTCTGCTGCAGTCTTCGATGAATACACATAAGTGAGCATAAGTGTAATTTCTGGATTTTCTCATAAATGTTTTTAAATCCAAGTGTTAAAACTGTAGCACCTCCATGTACCTTCAGTCAACTGCAAATGGGAGCGTAGATTTCTGAAGCAGAGTAGTGAAGGTTTATCACACAGCTTCCAATTTCATATATTGATCATGAAACTAATAGCATTTTATGGAGTCTACTCATAAACACCCTTTGTTCATTATAGAAATACTTTAGTTTTAGCATCACAGCCATAGAGGACTGAAAGGGATCTCAAGAAGGGAAGCAGTGACYATCCTATGAGTCAACATGGCCATCACTGGGCCTTCCTTCCTAGCTGCTAGTTTACAATCAGTCCTTAGGAATCTTCTCTACTTACCTAATACTCCTGAGTAGGTACTCTAGTATTTTTTCATAGCAATTGCAAAGATTGTTATGACCAAATTGCAGTTTTTCCTGCCAGCTGGGCGGATTATCCACATGTCTTTTCAAAAACTAATTGCTTATGTCACATATGGTGGGTGTATACATGAATATTCTCTTTGAATGTTAGACAAAGACTGCATTTTAACGAATACATAAAGCAATGAATTTTTTTTTAAATTTTACTTTTTTGATGGAGAGGCTGGTATTTACCTAAAAATATTCTAAGCCTCTTGCTCACTATGAGATGTTACTCAGTAAATATTTTAATACAGGAGTMTAGTATTAATAGTCCATATGAGTTACACTTCTCACAGAATTCTGCCATCTTCTTTGTCTCCTTGCTTTGCATGTTGACTTTCTTATAATTCTTTCTGGAGTAAATAACACTGAAGTGTTTGCTATAGATAATTTCTGAAAAAATGTTCTTGTAAAATAGTAACATGCCTCTTTTTTTTCTTCCTTCCTTTCAGCCAAGCYGAATGGGAGCGGCTCCTGACAAATTGTAGTGCGTTTCTGTTCTATGGGATGGAGAGATTCATGTCTCATGTATTGCTTAATTGGTTGGTTGCTATGAACATCCCAAGTAAGATAAGCAAATTGAGAAATATTTTTGATTATACCACCTTTTATTCCTAGATGTGTCCTACTGTATCATTATCACAGTATTGATAATTAATTGCCAATTGATGTTGGCAATTAAGGGCTTGTTCTAGATCTGGGGTTCTTAGTCAGAAAAACTTTGTAATATGCAGGTTTCATTATTCTGTTGCATAATGTTCTTGTTAATCCTCACAAATAAGCTTAATCCTTCTTCGCTTCCATTTGTTGGAATTTCTTAGGTTTCAAAAGGGTTTACTAAGGTTTTACTAAGAGTTTCCTCAGTAAACCATCTCMTTTCCTTTGGAATTTAGTATTTTATTGCAAGATATTTTATTGGTAAGAACAACCTCTGCAGTGCGTTTCTCCAAAATTCTTAAGTCTCTGCTGAGGCAAACCAAGAATTGTCCATCAAGGCTGGCTTAATGCTGAAGGATTACTCTGATATTATAGAGCATTTGTAGACTCTGAGAAGGTATTTTTTCTCTCTTTCTTCACAACTAATTAGTCTTTCTGTTGTAGCAGAAGGCTTAGATTCAAGACTGKTTTTTTTGGTTCAGAATATTCCTTTCTCTTCCTATTTTCCTTGCACATCTGGAAGAAGCTGGACTGAGTGGTGCTGAATTTGTCAGCGTAGCTATATTGTGTTGACCTGTGAAAGTGAGAAGGAGAGTACATCTCAGATTGTGAAGCCAGTAGAGCAATAGGAACTTTCTTCATGAAGCTTTGATTTTAAAAGTGATTGAAACATCTATATGTAAATATTACAGGAAATAAGAAGAGAACATGTCTTCTATATACATGGTCATACCTGAAGAACATGTTTCAGAGATCCATAGACCAGATATTTGCAGGTCTGGCAACTTTTGGAAAGTTGTTAAACCTTGCCCTTTGTCCTACCAGGATTAATTCTGTCTAAGATTTCTGAACATTCTAACCTAGACTAAATATTATTAAATATTGAGTTTGGTCATTTACATGATGAAATAAAATATATCATTGCTAAATCTGACAATGAGACCAGGCTGACAAAGTGAATGCAGCCATTTAGCAAATCCTGAAATGCAAGATCATGRTACAAATTAACCTTGCTTTATGCAGGGTGTAGTTTGGGAAAAGCTAGAGGGAGATATTGTACTTACGGGAAAATAATCAGTTAATAATTAATAAGTTAAGGTATGACTGCTTAAGGGGCAGAGTTACAGAGCAGAATCAAGAGATGGATTGCAAACTAAGCAACGTATTCTTGCTAGTGTTAAAAAAAMCCAAAGTTTATATAGGGGTAACCATACAGGAGTGTCATGTGCAAGCTATATGAAATAATTTCCTACTCTATGTAGTATTGCAAAGGTCTCAGCTGGGGAAGAATATTGACTACATTCAGTAATTTATTGCTGGAGAACATTAGGAGTGGTCAGAAGGCTGTACGACAGCTTGTGTGCTTGGTTTTATTAATAGATATATATGTGCATCGATATGTCYATATGCATTTAAAACATACCTTTGGAGGAAATATTTACACATTRAGGGAAGATATGATTAAAGTTTTAAGATTTTTTAGGCAGAAAAATAATTTACTTCTCATCTGCTGGTGTTAGGAGAACAAGTAACTGATTTAAGCTGCAGCAAACCAAACARTAGGCAAAACCTTTTAATTCTGACAGTATTCTGAGTTATTTCACTGGAGACCTTTAAGGAAGATAAGGCATATCAGAGATGTAACTTGKATGTGAGTTGTGGAGAGAAGCAGTAGTAGAAAAGTTTCCATACCTGCATATGTAAACTCTCCCAAGAGTTCATAACTACAGAATTGGATCATATAGGTTATTGGCTGTAATAAGATTGTATGTGGGCTTCATGACCAGCTAATGTGGCATGTGGAAAAAAWMCCCAAAACATTATGGAAAYGTAGCAAAATCACATGAAGTAATGCTAGGATGACTTTATTACTGCACATTTACATGATGCTTGACAATTGTGGCYAAAATGTGTAAATTTTRTACTAGTCGTTTAGACTGGGTTCAAGAAAGCAATTAACTTACAAAAGGCCTGATTTATTTTAATTAATRTGCCTGCATTATTAGTGTGAATACCATTGCTATATTGTTTTCCAGAATGCCRTTTGGTGATTCTTCTGGATCTTGTACGATCACTGCAAAGTTACCAAAGAATTAAAAACTCTGATATCCACAAAAGGTAAAGGTAATTTCAGTAAAGTCCACAATAAGGCAGATTATTTCAAAGCAAAGTTAAAATTTTGAGTTATGAATATTCTCATTTACTTCTGCAAGTAGAATAGTAAATAGGATAAATCTTCTGATATTTCTTAATATCCCTTTTGACATCTCCAAAACAGCTATTTCCTAAACTAAACCAAAACACAAGTTAGTTTCTCACTCATAACTTTTGGAGTCTTAGTTTAATAGTCTGGTGAATTCATTAATAAGACTTACATAAGTCCAAAAGCTTGCTGAAATTTTAGAATAATATGTGTTTAAAAATGAGTCACATAAACTCCATAGACAAGCAGACAGCATCTCTCCAAAAGATTACAGAAAACTTTAATTATCGTCTTTTGATAGTTACTATGAAAAGGAGATCCAAATAAAACCAAAATTCAACCTTCTATTTACTGCAGTTTCAACCTTAGAGCATCAGTCCTCTTTTATCAGTAAAACAATAACACCAGTGGTACTTAATGAAATATTCAGGAGTAAAAACTCAAATCCCATGTTGCAAGTGATTTGCTTTTAAGCTTCCAAATCAACACCATACTTAGGACAAAGAACAAGGTCTCCATTCCTGCAGTATTTTATGTCTGAACATGTCTTTTCATGTRATTCCCAATATTTTGACTGTCTTATGAAAGATATTCTGTGGTGTTTTGTAGAAGTTAGAGTAGTACTTGTCCTTTCTCATTTCCTGAGATGTCCAGAACTACAGTAATACAACAGAGTGTAATCCCCATGGTAAAATTGCATCATGAAAGAATGTAGAGAGAAAGTTACCTGACTTCGTTGTATTAAATTCCAAGTGCTGYATGAATGTGAGAAAACACTTTATGCTCAGCATACAAGGAAATGCAGTCTGGCATTCTTTCTCCTTCTATTAAAAACCATTGTATATTAGGTTTTATTTTTTATCTATTATGTACATTTTTCTTTTATTGATCTCATAATTTTGATCTTCTTTAGTTGTCTATGTGTTGCTCTAGAGAGACCAACAGAGACAGCAATGCTTCTAAGTCTTACAGGTGTTGGTTCTGTAATAGCCACCCAGTGGTACACGACTCTGCAAGAGAATGCAGAAAGGCTGGAGATCTTGTTTGAGAGTAAGTGTTTGTATTGGTATTTGCATTTGTATTTGTATTGGTATTTSTATTTGCATTTGTATTTCTATTTGCATTTGTCTTAGTTTGTGCCTATATTGCTTCAGACATTTGTATGTGTGCACTCATGGAGTGTGTGCATCTACCTGTCTCCTGTCTCTTCTTTCTTTGCTCCTTACCAAATTTTGCCTGGAGTTTCCATAGGAGGTGAACTGCATGCAGGAGCAACCGTGTTGTTGACAGGTTGATCTTCCAAACATAAAAGTAACCTATTTAAAAAAGTTTCAGTGGGGTGTTTGTTTCTGGTCATGTAGTAGGACTAGGATTGATATGGTGAGCTGCAGTACCCTGGGGCATGGCTGTCTGCAGTTACAGAACTATGGRAAAACCCCTGGAGTTAACTCACATCTGCTCAAATCATTAATGAATTCTCTAGAGCTATCATTTTTCATTAAGTGTTAAATGTGAAAGCACCAGGCTGTATGGTTGATATTTTCTTGTTTTTCAAAACTTTCATTAAAAAACTCACAGAAACTAACATTTCTTTCCAGATTTGCTGAGCTTTGGTAAAACAGCTGGGCAGACAGTCCATATTCTTCAAAAGAGTAGAAGTCACAAGAAAAGGGATTCCATTAAAAGTAAGAATTAAGAAGCTTAGTATGAAAGACTGGCTGTAAATGTTGACTAGAACGAACCTTTAGATAGGTACATYGTGTGGTAGTTCACAGGTACAAGTGAAACCTTTCAGATGAGMTATTACAATTTTCTCTGAAACTTCTAAAAAGAAGTGAGAGTCGGAAGASCACTGATCCAAGATTGTAATTGGAGTAGCTATGTTTTACATAAATAAAATTTTGGGGGAGACTTTGACATAACTGACCAAAAGCTAAAATTTGTTTTCCACTGAACAAATAGAGCAGAGTTACTGAACAGGTACATCAGGAGCACAATACAGACAATATAAATGGAATGGGATTATAGATGCAAAAAGATCAGTAGGATCTGCAGCAGTTTTAGACGGTCTGCATTGCAAAGGGCATACTAGATATAAAGAATATCTGGCATCTTGTTGGAGAGCGGGGAAGAATTTTTGAGTAAAACAACTTCTAACATATACTGTCTGAAATTGAGCTGCTGTTTTTCAGTGTACAGGAGTTACCTTTTAAAGTAAGGTTTAATAAAATAAATTTTAATAGTAACTGTCATAGAAGTGAAGAGAGAAAGAATTCAGRTCAGTAATACTACGTAGTTTTCTGAGGTTTTTTTTCAGAAAATGCTTCTTCAATATAGTGTCAGTTTTTAACATTTTTTAAAGAATATAAAAGAACCACAAGTATTAGTCAAAGAGAAGATGTGTTAAATTATGGCGTAACATTCTTATATTCAGTCATAGTCAGAAATAACAATGKTTTTTTATGTATTTTAATAGTGGAAACAGACTCTCAGAGTTGTTCTGGAGACAAAATAGAAGAAGAGACTGTCGACACTTCCTCAGATCTTCCTGCAACTCAGCCGTCATTTTTTAATTGTGTGCTGTATGGTTTACCCAATGTAATTCTGATGTAATTTGTGTCAATCTTTTCACGATACAAATACCTACACTGGTGCAAGGAGGCATGAGCTTAAGAAAAAGTTAACATATTGCTGATTTCTGATTTCTGTTTCAGATGTAAACAGTTGGATATTAGAATAAGTGTCAGGAAAAAAGAATATATAATTCAGAGATCTGGGTTAGTAYTCTAAGGTTTCTTAACTTGGTGAACCCTTCAAAAAATTGTTAAGTACCAACATATCTTAAAGAAAAGTGGGCTAAAGTTTTTCAGCCTTCATGCATGAATGTAATTAAATTGTATCAATGTCAGTGCTTCCGTTTGGACAAATGTTTCCGTGGTGTATTTTATTTTCACATGAACAGTTTATGAGGAACATAGGTGAAGATTTACCAAGTTACCTTACTCTGAATTATCTTTTTATGTGGAGGTAGTTGTAGTTTAATTAGAAAACAAGTTAGTGTCAAATAAAATGGTTAATAATTTTTGGGGTTTTTTCCTGTGATTTTCCTCAAAAACATATRAACATCTATTAAATTATTTTAAAATCCCAAATATGACTGTTATGTGTATGGATTTTGTAATATGCTCTCTTTAAAAATAAAGCATTTTTTAATTACACACTTCAAAACTTCATAGCAATAGAAATAGAAGTAAAATAAATTAGCATTATGGAAAATATAAAGCTTTGATTGTCATTGCAACTAAAATTGTCAAGAGTCTTTTTTCCCCAGTAAAATAGTGATGTCTATTTCCTGTGACACTTTTTTTGTGTYTCATAGAGCATTACAATGGTACTGAAAAGATACTGTCCTTGGCTCCCTGATGTGTTACAGTTAGAGCCTGGTAAGGGTCACAGGGCTGTACAGACCATCTTGCAGAATAATGGCATGCAAAATACTTCATGCATGCAACATAATATAAATTAGTGCTTCCTTCCCTCTTTCACAATTGAATTACACAACCTTATATCAACAGGAGTTGCTGTGTCAGTTTGTATTCCGTAATATGCGTGATTTTTCTTCCCCTTATAACGTAATTTGGACACAGGACATATATGTTTTATGGTGTATCTTGCCCTTCAGTACAATACAAATTAAGTAAAGAAGAGATCATAGATTATACTGAAATTAYCCAGTCTGAAAACTAAGGATTCAGKGTCAGGTATTTTCAGGTCTCTGAACTCCTCATGTTTTACCAGATGCTGGCTTTTTGTTTGTTTAGTTTTAGGTCTTGTAAGGTACTTTTTCARTGTATATCTGTAATGCAGATGTACTTTTTTTTTTTACATCCCATGTAAAATGTACTTTTTTTACATCCCATGAATGGTATTTGGGAAGCTGAAGTGTTGCTGAGTTTGAAGAAGCAATTTGTGTTGCAAGAAGCAAGTATACACACTTGTTGTTCACTATAGCAAATATACTCATATTGTTAATTTCTCTATGTACAATATTAATTTTCACATCATCCTCCAACACATTGATTGTCATGCAGCTGTATTTACCTGCTCTTAATGGCACTGTGAATGCCATCTTTCTAGTATTGGGTTTTGGGTGTTTTTTTGTAACATAAAGGGTTTTAGAAAAAAAGTGTATTCAATGGGAATCAKGAAGCCTTGGTTACCTTGCTACATGACAGTTTTAATGGATTTGTGCTAACTTCTACCTTCTTGAAGTAAGAAATTCGATGAACGATAAAATCCAGAGAAGTTTCAATGCTTCCGAAATGGCAGTGTTGTTCTTTGAGAATAATCCAGGATAAAAACTTCAAGATTTCAAAGAATAGAAAAACTACTGATATTTTGGTATGATGGGCTTATTCACTTGTTTACTACTGTGGTTTRTTTATGAGCTGATGGAAATAACTGAATCTATTGAAGATTTTTTCTCCAAAGATATTCCCATTTTGTATTTGATCCTTTAGCTCTAACTACATTGCAACAGCCTCTGCCRTAAGGATGACCAAAAATTTCTTTATGGCCTCTGCATTACTGTGCTATATACCAGTAAAATCATAATAGCAGTAGGATACATGAGTAGATGATAAACTCTATTTTAGGTGAACATGCATTTAGTGACATAAGACAACATGTAGTCCATCCCTTCAGGAATTGATACTGGAAATAACATCATCTTTCCCATTATGTTTTTGTAGCAATGTGTAGTGTAGACACAATGATTGTACAAAAATAGAGTCACTTCTTTGTGGAGAAGRTACGTAGCAGAAGTTGAAATGATTTCAAAAGAAAAAGAGCATAGGTAGTTAACACCTTTCATATTTCTTTTAAAATCATAATGATAATTTAACAAGAGAGAGGAACCTGCTTCTTATGTACACTGAGGCTCAGCTGGTGCAGTTTGAGAGTCCAGTATGCTTATCAGTTCCAGGGAATAAACAAAAATGGAACAGAGCAAGGACAGGTTGAGAAGGAGTGCTGTAAAAATTTGCTGGTTTATAACCTGTTTTGAATATGGAATTAAAAGCTTAAAATTTTGTGATATTCCTCACATTTCAAAGTGAGATGCTGTCATAGCAAATTACCTGGGCTAACAGGATCAAGCGTTCTCCCCACAGAGTGAGGCAGGAGCTGAGCCAGCTGGCAGTGAAAGCAAAAGGAGTTGTCTGTGTGCAGCACAGAAGGCTTTGTTCATCTTGTAACAGTTTAATATAGGAAATGCCCCAGTGGACTCCTGGCTTTAAATTATTGGGAGAACTAAATAGCAGCATAGTCATACAAGGTGCCATAAAGAAGGTCTTTATTCTTTTAAAATTGAATCAGTGAACTAACATTTTCAGCTACAGATACAAAAGGGGAATTAAGATTGYTGATTTCATATAAGGTTTTGTATAGAACAAGTACTTGCTAATAACTATGGTGGAAAGAGTGGTCATGAAATGCTGCTGGAATTATTTTTAACCATTCATTAAGTATATATGAATAGCAAGTTYGGAAATTCAAGTTCTAGTATCATGGAGTCCTGGAGTGGTTCAAGTTGGAAGGGACCTTAAAGTTCATGTTTTTCCACCTCCTGCAATGGGCAGAGACATCTTCCAGGTTGCTTCAAGCCCCATCCAGCCTGGCCTTGGGCACTCAAAGGGATCCAGGGGCAGCCACAGCTTCTCTGGGCACCCTGTGCCAGGGCTGCCCACCCTACAGGGAACAATTCCTGCCCAAAATCCCATCCATCCCTGCCCTCTGGCACTGGGAGCCATTCCCTGTATCCTTTCCCTCCATCCCTTGTCCCCAGTCCCTCTCCAGCTCTCCTGGAGCCCCTTTAAGCCCCAAAAGGGGCTCTGAGCTCTCCCTGTCCCTTCTCCTCTCCAGATGAGCACCCCCAGCTCTCCCAGCCCCGCTCCAGAGGGGCTCCAGCCCTTACAACTCCTCTGTGGCCTCCTCTGCTCTCATCCTGGGCACACTTGGACTAGATGCACTACTCCATCTGGGCTTTCTCAAGAGTGAGAAATTATTTTTATTCTATTAAGCAATAAACTCTTATAATGAAATAAAAAGAGGAAATGAAATTTTTTTTTTATAACAAAAATACTTACTTGATTTTTTGAATTGTCTAAAGTATTCATGTATTTGACTATGCGCTCTTAACTTTTACAATCTTGTATTGTGTTCAGCAACCTGGAGGAAAAARATCCTACCAACTAATGACCCAGAAATAAATTACAGTAGATACACCTCAGGACATATGAGCTCTCTCGTCGAATGGTGTTGGCACAAGCCCAAACAACAAGAATAAGAGCTTCTGAAAATRTTTCATCTGCGTGGCACTACATCATTCCCATGCACTGTATTCATTCATACGAGAAATATTAAGCAGTTAGTGCTATTCCATGTATCAAGGGCTTTAAAATAACTTTCTGAATTATGTCTCAGCAACATAACAAATCACACTATCAATTAGCTTTTATAACAGAAATGACATTTCATAATATATTTTAGCATGAAAAGAATTGGTCAGCTAAAATTTATGTAATCTGAAAAATGTGAGGAGGAAAAAAATCGTGGTGAATTTATTGGTGATATTCTAGGACAAAAACATAATTTGAGTTGTAGGTAGCTGTCCAAGAAAAGTGTATGATTCTGAATGGTCTACAGYAAAGAATTGCAGCAAGTTTGGAACAAAATGATAAACACCAAAAGAGAGAARGTCTGTCATTAGTCCCTGGTGTAAGCTCTTTAAGATGACACTGCCATAAGCAGTCATTCAAGGATTTCATAGATTTCGTATCACACGTGCATCTCTCTGCAGAGCTGAAGCGGCTGCTCCGGGCAGCAAAGCTGTACCCCCCTTTTGCAAAGGACAAAGGTGGAGCAGATGCAAAAATGGAGCAGCTGATGCTGTCGGTGTTTGACGGAGGTGTTTGCAGGCAGGAAATTGGAGCAGATTTGAGGTTGGTGCACAGATCATTCCCGTAGTTATTTAAGACCATTCATCTTGAGTTTGAACACTAATTTAGGGACTYTACAACCTGCTAAGCCTTCCAACCTGTGCTCTGGCTTCCTGTCTGACCTGAAAACCCTCCCAGAACAGGATATCAGAGAGAACTCAACCATCTTATCTGAATGTAAATCCTTCCTTCTGTTTAGTGTGGATGAAAGATTAGTTTATTGTAAAGCCACCAAGAACTTCTTGAACTCTTTCTTGGGTATTAATTCAGGCTTTCAACTGCAGTGTCTTCATGTGGATATGGTGAGAGATAGTTATTAGCATGGGTTTTAAGGATGTGGYCAAGTTAAAACTGAAGGCATGCTTTTGTGCCCTGTCTGGTTGGTGGAAGACCCAAATTGGTACTCAGGTCATAAACTGAGTATTTCTCAGCCAGTGAGAGAAGAGTGTGTGGGGTTTTTCATGAACATAGTAGTAGCATTTCCAGAAGTTTCAGTCACAATAGTCTTCATTTCAGAATAAACAGAGGAAACATATTTAATATATTGCAGTTTTYCAGATGGTTGCTTAAGGCTTATGGTATGAGGAACAATTTTACATCACTTAATCCCATTTTTATAAAAATGCAGCATGGAATATTAACAATGTTGCTGGTGGATAAAATATCAATTATAATATTCCCTGAAGTACAAATCTTGATACCTATTATTATATGTATAATACTTTTTGATGTATTAAAATAAACATTGCAAACAAAGTAGTCCATCTATGAAGAAATGTTTTCTTTGTCTACCAAAGGAGTATACAAAGTCAGTACTAAGTTCAATACAGTCAAAACCAACAAAATAAAGACCCTTTTCAGAAGTAAAGGTCAATATTTTGGGCTAGGAAGATACAAGAAATTAAAAGGTCTTTTGTGACAGTGTCCATTACTGTGGGAAATATTTAGAAGGTATTTCTTTGTCAATGAACTACTACTGTGATTTTTTTCCATTTGTTTCATATAATATTTCAGCCTTGAAACACATGAAGGCAGAAGAGGATGAAAACTGGCAATATTTAACTGAAAGTGAGTCAGTACTGACCTYGAATTTTGCCCAAGTATGTTAATTGTGAAAGAATGCATTGCAGGGAGMGTTCCAGAAACAAACCAAACAAAAAAAAAAACCTGAGTTTTTCAAAAGTGCAAATGCCAATTTCCCTTGAYAATCATAAGCTGTACAGGCTTCTATGTGAAAATATTATGTATTATGGGTGTTTTATTATCTGACTGGATACTGAGTAGTAGRTCATAGTCATATCACAGCAGCAGTGTCCACACTGCAATTCTCTGTCTTCTTTTTCTGTTTGATGCCACAATTTTAAGAGACAGATCCATGCTCCCAATTTGTTTTGATTAGCACAATGAAGACATGATCATAATCCATCAGTAAGGGAAAAGGGTTTCATATTTTAGGGCAGAAGTGTTCATTTGGAAAACTGCAGGCATGGAGAGCAACCTCTTAAGTGCAAAGTGAACTTGATGAGAGAGCAGTGATAGTGGAATTACAGTTTCAGCTGTAATCTGCAATATCGTGGAAGAGGAATGTAGGGAAATAAGGTAATGAGCTTGTCTGCTGAGTTCTCAGCATTGCAGAAGCAGCCAGAACAGTCTGTTCTCCCTCTGATGTGTATTAATTACCTCTCAATACACCGATGGAGAGAATTAACTAAGGTTTCCTCTTGGAAGAAAAGAATGGGTTTCAAAAATATTTGCAGTTCTGTCATGTCCTCAGAATTTATCTACGCTTGTAACTCTTGAAGTGGATTACAGAATATAAACKAAATGAGTATGCAGTATGCTGCAGCTGAGGTATGCAGCTGACTGCCTGTGGTGTGGTCAATGCTGACATTGAGGCAGCAGCTAAATTGTGTAGATCACTATGGACAATACCCACGTAGAGCTCCCAGCTTGTCATTGTGCATCTGATCCTCTCCAGCTAAATTGTGTAGATCACTATGGACAATACCCCGTAGAGCTCCCACCTTGTCATTGTGCATCTGATCCTCTCCAGGCCCATTGGTTTTTTTCTCTGATGGTTAGCAAGTAATCCTGTTGCTGTCACTGACAGCACAGGTACATGCTCTCKCCTGCATTCTGTTCATGACCAAATATGAGCTCAGATACGCATTGATACAGATGTGCTGATATAGAGTGGGAACAGAATTCTTCAGCTTGGGCAGACCTTACTATGGAGATTCACAGTCAGTATGCATTGCTTATTACTGTCTACCTTAGCAAAACAGGAATTATTTCACTACCTTCTGAATTTTTATCATATATGGAACAGAAGCCATTTCCAGCT